TAGGAGTAGACTCTGACTCATTAGTCCTGAGGATCAGGGACCAGCCATCTGTGTCAGTTCTTGGGAGTACTGTGGGCTGAGGCTCAAAGGCTGATTCCTGAGATAATCATGGAAAAATTGTTCACCCTACAGACTCCACGAGCAAAGCAGGAAGCCCAGATGTGCTTGGACTGTTTGGGGACAGAGGCAATATGTGCCTCATCCAGGTATTTTGTTGAGCCGGGGGAACAAGTTGACCTGAAAATCTGCCAAGTTTACCTGGGGGCTGGGTAGCAGCTGTGGGAGAGGGAGTCCCCAGGCTACCTACCCTGGAGTCCTGTTAATCCCAAGGATCTTGGTGAAATCTGGTGTCTGATACTGAGAACTACGCTGAGTGGAACCTCTAGCAAAGGGAGGCAGCCTCTGCTCGGTCACTCCTTAGGGTACCGACTTCCTGATAACATGGCTCTCAGCTCTGCTCCACTTGAGAAGGAGCTCTTGGCCTGCTCTTGGACCCTTGTGGAGACCGAGTGCCTTAGAGAGGACTGCCAGGTATTGTTGTATCCCAGTATCCTCATCCTGCATTGATCCCCTCAGATGCTAAAGACAGAGGTGGAAAAGCAAAGAGATTTCTCATAAAAAATGGAAATGGCACATTCCAGAACAGCAAGTCTGGTCCCACAGATGAGTGCCCTTTACAAATAAGGTTAAGGCCACATCCTTCAGGACCCATTGTATCTTCCTTGATGACTCACAGGGACAGCCTTTGGCTACCTGGAGATGCCTCCCAGGAAGCCCTGAGGATGCTTGGGCCTGGTTACTGAAGGCTCATGCCAACTAGAAGCTGATGGAGTCCACTGTGTGGCATCAGCCATTGGCCCCAGTTACAGCCCTGAAAGACGTATGGGGTAAAACCCATCAGCAAATTGGCTAAATTGAAAGCATTGCCCTTGCCTTAGACAATACTCCTATGGACCAGGCATTCCATTTCTCATCTGTTCTTGGGTTCTGGCTAGTGACCTAGTTAGTGGTTGACAGCGACAAGTATATTGAACATACCCCTTTTGGAGCTGCGTGCTCTGGAAAGCCTCTGCTGCAATCTGATGAAACATTTTTTGTACCCGGTGTGTTACCCATAGGAAGGTGCATGCCCAGATGAGACTGAGTGGAACAATGTGGCAGATCGGGCCTGCATAGCCCATATGGTCAGCATCAGTACCTCCATCCATTATTGGACTGGGTATACCAATCCTGCCACTAACCCAGTGGACTCGAAAGTTGAGCCTTGTATGTTGAGGAGACTGAGATGGCCTATCAGGACTGTGGTGCCTGTCAGCAGTTGGTCTGTCTGTCTGGATGCGAACAAGGACCCAGAGGTCTAGGGCTAGAGTCCATCCACGGCTGGTGTATGGAATACACTTGTCCTCTACTGCCATCATGTGGTTACTTCTAGCAACTCTTGGCTTTTGCTGCTTAACCCCCTACCTGGGGCTGATATTTTGTGTGAGTGGCAGATTTTGACTACCCCATAGTAGCACTTGAGACCAAGCTCTACCATCTTTCTGGATATCTGGATCATTTATGATCATATGCTGCCACCGCATTCACAGAAAAGGCGCCCTGACAGTGGGCTAATGAATATGACATTCAATGGACATTTCATCCCCTTCTCATTCTCATGCTGATGGCATCAAGAGGTGGAAGGAATTTAAAAGACTTGACTGGAAAAGATTGCTGGATAGACTGTGTTAGCAGCATTGTGCACTACCCACATAGCCAGACAGTGTGAGCATTAATGCAGCCAGTCCTCAGCGGGAGTGCAACAGCAGCTGCCCACTTGTATGTCTGCACCTCTGTGATTAGAAGCAGCAATCAGTGACCAGAACACAGACCTCCGCTATCTGAAGGACAGGGTTTTCATTGCCCATCCTGGCACTCAAAGTCTGTGTAAAAGCTACTCCAGGAACATATGCACAGCTGCCTGCCATCAGACGAGGGTGGCAGATGGGTAAGGGCTGCAGAGCTAAGTGTTGAAATTAACCACAATTTACCATCCAAGCCTTCCCCTGGAATTTGCAAGCCTTCAACAGACTCCAGAATTCCAAAATAGTTACATCAGACAGATTCTGTCAGTGCAACTGTTGTTTAAGTGGGGAGACAGATTCTTAAGCTTCCTCTTCTGCTATCTTCCCTTTCCTTTTCTTTTTCAACTGAATCGAGACTCCTCTTCGTGACTTCTCGTGCATAGGTTGACTGGCCTTTGCTTGACCCCCAGTGACAAGGAGTTTACTGCATCACAAGGAAACTCAATCTGCTGTTTATTGGAAGCTGACTATGGGCAGGTGACATTGGCTCCCCTTTATTGAGTCATGCTCTGTGCCAGGCATCATGCTGGCCATAATGTCCACCAAATAAGGTGGGTGCAATCCCCTCCCCGTTTGACTGAGAGGGGAATGAGGCTTAGGGAGCTTGTGTCGCTTCTCAAGGGAGAGCCACATTTGAACCGAGGTCTTCTGGGTCCAATGTTGGTCCATACTGCCTTGAAAGGGCCAAGAGAAATCAAAGGAACTTAAGACATGGGCTTGGTGCACAAGTATTCGAGGTCTTGTTGGGAGAGAACAATGAAATAAACCCCCATTTAGAAGAGGACAGAGAAGTAGTGGGAGTCAGTGAGCTGACCTAGGGAATGGTAGCGTAGTTCAGGCAAGACGTAAGAGCATGCAGGAAACCCTACATGGGGAAGACAGGAGTGGGGATGGTGGGCTTCGGGCCGGGTGGTCAGCCCTGTAAAACTCCCCTGTGAACATATTCTCAGGACTGGCTCCACCTTCTCCCCTTTCTTGGATGGCAGTTACATAGGCACAGATTTCTTTGCCAGCAGTCTGCAGTTTGCAATTTGGCTTAGTCACATTTCTTTGGCAAATATTATTTTCTAAGACCTTTCCCTTTAGGGTGACTTGAAATACTGCTTGGCCAACTTTACTGTGCTTCGAACTCATCTGGAAAGCTTGTTAAAATACACATTTGTGTGCCTCACCCTCAGAGACACTAATTCACTATGTCTGGGGTGAGGTCTGAGAATTAGCGTTTCAGGAGCTCCCCAGGTGATCCAGATGCTTCCAGTCCTATGCCACACTTTGAGTGGCACTGATTTATGTTACATTTTGTCATGAGACAATACCAGACAGCTGTATGGTGGTGTTAGTTTGAATGCTGTTAGGAAATGGTCTGTGTCGAAACCCACCCTAGCCCGTGGTGCGTATGTACAGAAAAGCAAGAGCTCTGCAAGCGGAGAGCTGGATCCTCTTCTGGCCCACATGTGTGTGAGCTGTGTGACATTGGACAGCTCACCTCTCTAGGCTTCAGGCCACTTAGTTTATAATTAGGAATAAAACTACTTACTGCATAGGGATGTGGTGAGGATCAGAAGAGGGAACAAGCGAAAGGCACAGAGCCCTTACAAGAAACAGATTTGATAAATGTGTCATAGTAGATGCTTGACGTATATATATATTTTTTAGAAATTCAACTGCAGCAAACTTGCCCTGTCCCCACCATCACACAGCCTTCTGTGTCCTCTCACACTCTCATCAAATGCGTCGTCTCGGTTTCCATCACTGGTGCTGAGGTTGGACCTAGTCTCTTAGCTCACCTCTCCCCCACCCAGTGTCTTGCACGGTGCTTGACACATAGTAGATCATAAATATTTGTTAGGTGCGAATGCAATTAGAGGCTGTATTAGTAGTTCTCAACCTAGGCTGCCCATGAGAATTAGCTGGTAAATATCCCAGAAATTCTGATTTAATTAATCTAGGGGAGTGTTTCTCAACCTGGGCTGTACAATAGAATCGGCTGGGTAAATTGAAAAATCCACATGTTCGAGTCACATTCCTAACCAACTACATCAGAATCCCTGGGGTGGGACTCAAGCATCAGTATTTTTTTTTCAGTCTTTTTTTTCCCTTTTTTTTGATGAGGAAGATTGGCCCTGAGCTAACATCTGTTGCCAATCTTCCTCTTTTTGCTTGAGGGAGATTGTTGCTGAGGCAATATCTGTGCCAATCTTCCTCTATTTTGTATGTGGGACACCTCCACAGCATGGCCTGATGAGTGGTGTGTAGGTCCATGCCTGGGATCCTAACCTGCAAACCCCAGGCCACAGAAGTGGAGCATGCAAACTTAACCACTATGCCACCGGGCCGGCCCCACATCAGCATTTTTAAAAAGCTCCCCTAAGTGAATCCATTGTGTAGCAGCAGCTGGGCATCACTGAGTTAGGTTGAGAGACAATTTATGTACAGAAGCAGTGGATGGTTAACATGTTCTCAAGTAAAGACAAACAAAATTCGGGGGGGGGGTGGGGTGGGCAGGTGAGTCATTATTTTGCATATATCTAATGAAATTTTTTTATTTTCTGTCCTTTCCAATTTTGTTAATTTAATTCAACTTCTGTGTATGGTGTTGCTCTCTTTCCAGTTCACGTCTGTATGTTTTTGGCCATTTGCTATTGCTCTTGGATGCCTGTGCTGAGTTGAAGAGTGTCCCCCAAAATTCATGTCCACCTAGCACCCGTGAATGTTTGGAAATAGGTTGTTTGTAGATGTGATGACATTAAGATGAGGTCCTTCTTGACTAGGATGGGCCCTGATCCAATGCCTGGTGTCTTTATAAGAAGAGGGACATCTGGACACAGACACACAGAGGAAAACTCCATGTGAAGACAGAGGCAGAGACTGGAGTGATAAGACTACAAGCCCAGGAGTGCCATGGATGGCCAGCAATCACCAGGCTCTAGGACAGAGGCATGGGACAGACTCTCCGCCAGGCCCTCCAGGAGGAGCCAGCTCTGCGGACATGGTGATTTCAGACTTCCAGCCTCCAGAACTGGGAGAGGACACGTTTCTGTTGCTTTAAGCCACGCAATTTGTATAATTTGTTACAGCAGCCCTAAGAAAACAATACAGTGATTTAATTGATATCTATAGCATCTAGGTACAGTTTTCAATAAGAAGATCAGAATCCTATTTCTGAAATCATTCTTTTATTGCTCACACACACATATCTGCCATTTGCTGAATGTTTTCTAATTACAAGTCTAAGTTCTTATGCAATCAAATGTGACAAAATTCATGTCTTGTTCCAAAGAGTAAACTGGAAATTAATGAATGTTACATATTTAAACTTTCTTAGAAGGCTCAGATGATTAAAGCCAAAATTCTAAAGATAAAAAGATAGGTCTGTGCACTTTTTTCTCTTGGGCCCATCAGTGCGTGTTCCACATGGTTTCACGGAATTCTGGAAACTCCTGAAGGGGAGGTTTCTTTCCCAATATTTGGAGACGCGGCGGCTCACGAACTCGTGCAGTTGGATCTGTTTAAAAACTGTTCATACAGTCGGAGTGAATTGATGTCTACGAAAACCAATATTCCCATTTCCCACACTGTAACAAAAATAAATATACCCCAGACACCGCTAAGATGAAGCATTTACATCATGGATCACAAAGACAAAGTAATGAAAAGTATGCGACAATTTGTTAAATCTACAAAGAAGGTTAAAAGGTATATTTACATTTTGCTCCCTTTAAAACCAAACACTGAAACAACCACTTTATATGTTAGTAAATTTAACACATAAATTTTCATTAATTCAACAAGTATTTCTTCAGCACCTCTGTGTGTCAGCCCTCATTTCAAGTGGCATCAGCATTGATTTTTATCTGGGCATATCTATTGTTGTTATATAACATTAAGATGTTATTAATTTAGTTTAAAAAGTTCATCAAATAATAATAAAGGCCTCCCCGGTCCCATCTTATGAATATGGTTTAAAAACAAAAGGCTTACTTTTTCGCGGGTATAGTTTCAACACTATAAAATACAAAAAAAGGAGATACGATTATTTTTCTTTAATTACTATTACAGCTCAAGAGCTGCATCCCCCACATTTTTACTCTAACGCGGGTGCTGACTGCAAATTCAGGAGAAACACTGAGAAATACTGGAGAAGGAGGTGAGTGAAGTAAAAACGAGGCAAGCAAGTCACCAGACAGAGCGAAGGGCAGACTACAGAGCCCAAAGGAAAACTAGTCAAAGAGTTATAAAGTAAAGTGCCAAGTCCCCGAGACAGAGGAGCTGCAAACAAGAAATAAGAAGGCTGGTTAAGGAAGCTGAGGAGATTAAGCAAGAGGAAAAACATAGTTAAGACGGGCATAAGAAATTCGCTATAAAGAAAACACCTGAACAGGAGTGACCCACTAGTTAAAAAAAAATCCAGCTCATCAGAGCTCGTCTTCAGCAGCTCTTGGAAGGCAGCACCACTGAGAAAATGATGCCCAGCCTCTCAGCCTCTCTGGAAACTCGTCTACTTACTCATCATACACGTCCTCTGAGTCCATTCGACGATAGTACTTGGCCAACTTGACAGCAAAAATGATCGCCGGCAGTAAAAATATGGTAGCTTTTCCTATGCCAAACCAAAACAAATTCTAGGGGAAAAAAGAAAATCGGGAGGATTAAATGCTTGAAGATGGAGAACGGAAAACAACAGTTGCTTGCAGGAAATAATTTTGTTTTGCTGTTTTTCCAATGACTTCTAATTTTGTTTACTGAAACCATTTGTGAACTTCATATGAACAGCCACTGTGTGAAGTGCTACCTATTATTATAATTCACTAAATCTTTATAAAAACCTTGCAGAGATCCTATTATTATATTTATTTTACAAATGAGGAAGAGAGGCAGCAGGTAGTGAAGAAGGGTCCACATCTAGGACTTTCCAAAACAACCTCGAGCCCCCCACTAGATGGCCTTTCTTTGCTGCCAACTACAGGGCACGGATGGCCAGCAGGCCTGAGCCCAAATCCCTTTGATGAGTTGTTTTGATGTTAGAGTGAACACTGAATCTTCCTGGCTTTGCTCTGCTTGAACAGTGAGACTGCAGCCTCCCCAGCCCAGAAGCTTACTGAGTGAATAAGACAGAAGCAACGCCCAGTGTATACTGGGCTCTCAACAACCGTGCCACGTTTAATTTAACCAGTCTTCAAGGTAGATCATAGGCTGAACCCAACGCTGTTTTGTCTAAAAAGCAATGTTAAAGTATTTTTTTAAACAGTTGCCAACATTTGCAAGTCAGATTTCACATAGAAACCTGGATTTACGTCTTTTCCTGAAAAGTCTGAAGTTCCATCGCACAATGCTGAGCCCTCGTTCCCACAAGGCCACGTCAGTTGCAGCTCAGTGGGGGTTCTTCCTTCAAGAGGGTCCTCAGTCTGCCACAGGCCACATCACTAGCTTTTGCAGGGGTGACATCCAATATTCTTTAACCTTACTCACCAGTCAGAACAGACACAGCTGCGTACAAGCAGCATGACCCCGTGATACTGGACAGCAGCCAGCATCTCACCCTTGGCCTGCTTTGTAGATCTACAACCTGCCAGTTCCCGCAGAAGTTCAAGTCCGTGACCCCTACCTTAGGATAATGCTGTAAGTAACACTAGAGCGGGCCTCTGCACCCCACGGTGAGGCAGAAGGCAGCTGGAATATAACAACCACTGCCCAGACCTCACGGCTCCACCACTGCATTTCTGCTTTGCTCCTGGCCCAGCTTAGTGCTGAATGGCAGTGGCACCTCTTGGCCCAGAATTTACAGTAAATTTGTGCTCCTTTCCCCCCACATTCTTTCATTGGTAGATTTCTGTGCTTTCAACCTTGGTTTGAGAGGCTTTATAGCTTTATGACAACTGTATGCTTTTACTGGAAGCTATCTCAATCCTTTGGGGAACAATCAAGATAGAAGAGAACAAGTTAGTCGGCCTGGGGTCTGTTCTGCTGTTGAAGTCATTGCCCAGAGCTCTTTCTTACTATTTAAACCACCTACTATAAAGCTCCAGCCTACAATCTTCCTGAGCAGCCTCCAGGCCATTCCTCCCTTGGTCCCTGGTTATTTGTGGAGAGGCATCTGGTAATTGGGTGGTTTTATTGGCTGGGGGGTGGGCAGTGAAGACTGGATGCAAGGGGATCAATTCAGAATCAACCAGGCTAACCTAGGACTTCCCTAAGGAGGGCTTCAACCAAAGCCCTCAGCAGGGGCTCCATGCAGAAGGGGTAAGGGGTTAGAAGAGGAGGGAAGCAGCCAGGAAGCCAAGGCTTGGGGTCTGCATGGCTGGGAAAGTGGCAAGATTGTTTCCATTCTGGTACAAAAGTCCATCCAGCAAACAAATGGACATGAGGACGTGGGACAGGGAGATGGATGGATAGAGCAATACAGATGTGCTGCGATAACTATCTGATCATCCTTCATTCATTCAGTTGCCTGTGCCAGGCAATATGCCAGATGATAGTGAAGCAACAGTGAACACACGGGCTCTGTGCTCATGGAGTTTAGAGTCTAGTGTGTGTTGTGGGGAACCACACAAATGTGCCATTCGAACATCAATAACATCTCTAAAGGAAAAGCATTGAGTTCTCTGGGAATGTAGAAAAGGGAGCCCAGACCAGCTGGGAAGATCAGAAAAGCCTTCCTGTAAAAAAAGATATCTTTGAGCTAAGACCTGAAAACTGAACAATGGCCAATAATAGCGAACATTTACTGAGTTATGTTAATGTACCAGGAATGGTGTAAGAGCTTTACAGGTAGTTTCTCACTGAACCATCAAAAACAATCCCATTTAGGGGAAGAAGCTCAGAAAAGTTCAATAATTGTTCAAAGTCACAGAGTTCAGAAAATGTAGAAGTGGAATTTGAATTCAGAGTCTGTGTTCTCAACCGTTACATTACAAGACCTAGAGGCGTGACCCAGGTGGGGTATGAGTGTGGAGGGGAAGAATGAGAGAGAGAGAAAGAGAAAGAGCACATGTCCGGAATAGAGCTGAGGAAGAAAATCGACTAATTGGAAATTACCATCCCAACGGTAACATCTCAAAGGGCTTTTAAATCAAAAATTAAATTGTTTGCTGTAGCTTTGGGGTTATATAGATATATACTTGCACTAAGAATCCTTTTGAATATTGGCAATCTGCACACCAAGGACTGGTCCTTTCCAACTGTTCTGGACCAATAGGAGTTTTCTTCATGACAGTCTCCTGACTTGCCAATATAATTCCAGTAAGGAATGAAGACATGCGCCTGCACCTGGGTCTTTGATTTTCTAGTCTATTAGGTATCAAAACACATTCATCTACATTTTATTTTGGATCTTGGATTCTATAACCATAACAGACTAAAGCAGAAAACTATTTTACATTACAGTGTGCACTACAATCTGGAAAAAAAAATTAAAGACGATGAGTTTATTGTGTCTCCTTATTTTGAAAGATGAAATTCTTACCACAGGGTCAGTAATGTAGCTACACAGAAAGACGTCAACAGCAGAATCCAAAGCAGTGGCCACGGGTTTGCAGGCTGCCATGTGCTCAGTGATCTATGGGGGTAAGAAACAGGCAAACTTTGGCTGAACCAAACCCACAAAAATCCACAAGAATTAGACATGCCGTTTACCTTTGGCCCATTTTCACAAAACGGATCTCCATGCCGTCTAAGATAGGAGCTGAGAGCTGATTTCTATGGATGAGTTCTACCATGTATAAGAGTATCTACTTGAAAGCAAGACCCTGATTCTCTCTGAGCCTCCATTTCCAGTTCCCTTGTTTGTTACCTGGAACAACAGGACCCATCCTTCTAGACTCCTGAGATAATGAAAAAGTACATGTGTCCGGCACGGTCTCAGTCTGAATGTCTTACCTAACCCCTTTGTGATCTGACAATGTGGAGTGAGTTAACTAATGAGTGTACATTTTAGAACAAAAATTGGCAAACTTTTTCTATGAAGGGCCAAGAGTAAATATCTTAGACTTTGCAGGCCAGACTGAGACACGTCTGTCACACCTGCTCAACTCTGCCCTGGTGGGATGAACACACCCATAGATGATATAAACAACAGGTGAGGTTGTGTGCCAATAAAGTTTTATTTAAAAAAACAGCAGTACATGTTGACCTCATTTTAGAAAACAGAAAACACTGTACTCATTAATGAGGTGAGAATAAACAAATGATCCAATCCCACCGACGTAAGAAAGCTATCTTCATTCATTCAAGAACGCACTGGAGTACGTACGATAAGATAGATGCTGGCTTTCCTGGGCAGGGCTGTGTCTTATTTCTTTTCCTTCATTAGCTGGCTCACCTTCCCCTTTTCTTCCACCTATACCTTACAAGGCAACCCGTGTTAAGAACCTTATGTTTCTCTAAGCTCAAACAGCCCTATGTACTCTCCTCATAGGCTTTTCCACTGTAAGTTTCACAAAAAGTGGGGCAGGGCTCATATTCTGTACGTTTTCCTGCATGTTGCTTTTCTTGCTCATTTATACCCTGTGAAAATCTCTCTAAGTCCTGTGGTGTAGCTCTGATCCATTTTTCACAAACGGCCCCCTAATATTCCCATGGTGCGGCTCCTGTATGACTTTACCACTCCTATCCAGACTGGCTTTGGTTCCAGGGTGTTTGTTTCGTATTCTGGGTATGACTGTGACTAAAATGTGGTCCCTTGGTCTACAGTGGGGATGACTCACAGTGGTAATGGTGGCGATGATGATAACATATTCTTCTGCCACTACTCACTTGTGTATGTACTTCTCATGCCAGCCCTGAGAAGACCCTGAGATCTTCACATCTGGGGGCTGGGAGGAGGGGTCAGCACAGACATGAGAAAGCTGGATCTTGAAGGATAAACAGGCACATGGCCCACATGGTGGGGACTGGAGGAGGATATGACACACAGAGGGGATCACACGGAGAAATGTAAGTTTCAAGAATTCAAGCAGTTGAGTGTGGCTGGAATACGGGGTGGAGCAGAAAAGAGGGAGGAGATGGCCAGGCAGCTTGGGCTCACGTGGTGAAGATCAGGATACAGGAATAGGATTGGAGAAGCTCATGGCTGCTCAGGGGTAGCCTAAATTTTCCTGAGTCACTAGACTTCTCAAAGCCCATCTTGGCTAGCAGCACCCACCCAAGTAACTGAGGTGCAAGCATCCCCTGCAATGGAATAGTCCTCAGGGAGCAGCCAGCCCAGAGCCCAAGATGAGAAAAGGCATTTTTCAAGACACCGTAATTCTCTGTAAGCCGGTGCTAAGAGCGAGGTGCTGCCTTACAACCACAGTGAACTTTGCTCTGCTCCTCCATTTACTCTCCTGATACATTTGTGGAGACCCCACTGTTATGGACTGAATTGTGTCCCCCAAAAGTTCATATGTTAAAGTCCTAACCCCAGTACCTCAGAATGTGGCCATATTTGGAGATAGGGTCTTTGAAGAGGCAATTCAGTTAAAATGAGGTCATTAAGGTGTGACCTAATCCAAGACGACTGGTCTTTATATAAAAGAAGAGGAAATTTGGACACAGACACCTACAGAGGGAAGACGTGTGAAAACACAAGGGAAGGCGGCCATCTACAAGCCAAGAAGAGAGGCCTCAGAAGAAACCAACCCTGCTGACACCTTGATCTCAGACTTCCAGCCTTCGGAACTGGGAGAAAACAAATTTCTGTTGTTTAAGCTACTGCTACTTGACTAACACTGCAAGAATGCAGCAGGTTCCATGCTGTCCAGGGCACGTACCAACCACAACAGCAAATGCACCCAAACAGGGAGCTCCTGGCTCCCTGGGGGAGACACGGTCAAGTGTGGCAAGAATCCCTACGATGAAAGCAGGCCAAGGGGGCTGGGGGAGACACAAGGGGCATGTTCTCCAACCTGGTGGGCACCCTGGGAAGCCACCCAGCATGGACGACACTTGTGCTGAGTCTTATGGCACCTCCCCTCATGGTCCCCACATTCAAGGTTCTTTTACTTATCTCCTACCGAATTACCAGGGATTTAATTTTATTTCCTCCTTATTTTATCCTAGAAAATGACTATCTGAACACATGATCCCTTATGTTTATAAAAGATAAATAACTTACAGAGATCTTGACCCACTGCAGATAGTGTTCAAAGTATCCTATTATTGTATTCCCATACTTTTTCATTTCCTGGAAAGAAATCAAAGAGTAGTAAAACCATTAAAATGACTATATCTTATTCTATTTAATCATGTAGCTATGGCCACACATAGACTTACTGGCCTACTTATTTAAAAAAAGAAAGCTTACTTGAACAATAACAGAGGAAACATGCTTTATGAGGAAGTCCTGAGCAGAGTCCAAAGAGGAGAGGATATTGGTCACTCTCGCCTGGAAAACACAGCAACAAACATATGGTATTAAATGATAAAGGATTTCATGGGACAGTTTGCATATCGATGCCAGAACTGATAACACAGCCCCACACCACAGCTTGCTAGTTAAGAAGATGACAGACCAGACCAACCCTGTGAGGGCAGAGGAAAGCAGACGGGGACATATCAAGCACTTCCTCTGTGCCAGACACTGGGCCAGCTCCTTAGTCTGAATCACCTGGTCAGATACTCAAAGGCTGTAAGGAGGGTATTGTTAGGCCCCTTCACAGGTGAGGTAGCTGACTCTGCTTAAGGTCACCAAGCTGGGAAGCTAAGACCTGGGATTTACCCCTAGTTTTTTCACTCCAAAGTCCACACTCTCTGCACTGCCACACAAATAAGGACAAGGTCACTGCCAACCCATGTGGCAGCTTAGTGCAAATTAGAAATGGTGCCCCTTCTACCCAGAGACCTCAGGGCACACAGCCTGGCCAGTGGGTCACGGGCTGATTTCTGACCCCACTCGCCCCCGCGGCTGGCCCCTCGTGAAAGGCAATGCACAACAGCACGCTGGCACCCTGAGTGTCGAGGTGCAGAAGGATAGCAAAGGGCCTGCAGGCGGGCAACAGTCTGTCTCCAGGTTCCCCCGGCTGGGACACACACTTGTGAAACGCCAACCGCGACAAGAGGGAGAGAGATGGTCCCAGAGCAGAGGAAACCTAACAGTCTTCAGAGGAACTGAGTCAGGATCTCATTCACCAATGAAGCAGCAAGCTCAGTGTTGCCCAGGGCGTAGGAATGGACCCTAACTTAAGTTGCTCACAGCACCTAGGGAAAACAGTTAAGTGAGACGAGAATCCCTGTGAGGAAGGTGGGCAAGGGAGCTCAGAGAAGAGTAACGGGAGGAGCATGTAGGTTTCTGTTGTGGGGCTGACATCCAACACCTCTCTTGGGCAGTCTATACCACTCAATAAAGAAATAGTTTCTGAGTTCCCTGTTGGCATTGTGGGTACAAGATGAATACAACACAGCCTTGGAGCTCGGTTTCTGTTGTGGGAATGTTTGCAGCCCAAGGGAGGCCCCTGTGGTCGACTGTATTAGCTGTTCATGATGAATGGTAGCTTCCCAGACACAGTTTCCCAGGGCAGGAGGTGCATTTCCCCACCCCCACAATGATGGGCTTGGCTGTGTGACCTGCTGTTGCCTGCTGTGGCCAATGGAATGCAGATGAAATGGCAGTGTGTTGGTTCTAAGCAGTGGCTTAAAGGGCAACCCATGTTTCCATTCATCCTCTGAATTCCTGTCCTCCACGATGAGGATATGAGGCAGCCCAGACAGGAGCCTCTCCTTCAGGCTGGGTCTCTAGGTGGGAAGATAGGTGGAGACACCTACAGTCGGCCCAACAGGGAGAATCCAAGTTTGGGGTCAGAAGGCACTGCTGTTTGTCAGGCAGCACTATCTTAGTAATGGTGACTAATGGACCTTCTAAGCTTGCATCCGACACATCAAAACACAGCTTCCACCTGTGTGTCTAACAACGTGCCAAGATGAGGTCTGCACTTACAGAAATACTTGTAGGAAGGAAATAAGAAAAACCAGTTTGGCATTTAAAATGGATGGATAACTGAGACCTTTTTTTACTTAAAGTACCTGCAAAACCAACATCTCTGAAAGCCTGTGTGTGCTTTCATAATAAGACCCCGTGAGACGGAAAGAAAACAAATCCTCACCGGCAGTCCGCTGCTGTTGTGCTTAAGTTCCTGGATGGTTTTGTAGGCAGTGTTCTGGGGAACAAGCATACACAATACTTTCCATCTTGTTACATAAAGCAGCAAAGACCATGTGCCTCGTGTCCCTCCCTCCCCCAAGTCAGCCATCAAACCCGACTTTACTCTGTAATACTTCATTCCAGAAGAAACAGGCGCAAGTAACAGCGTGCACCTCATAGAGCTCTAGTATAAGAAACCTGAAGAAGAAAAGCAGAATTCGTATTCTAGAACTTCAAAGAGCAGCACATCATATGCAAGGTGGCCAGGAAACCCCCTCGAATCAGGTTTGCTCAAAGTGGCAGGCATTACGTACATAGGGGCTGCCCAACAAGAGAGGCTGACTCTGCCTGGTTTAGATCAGGGATTCATCATCTTTATTGGCAAGGGCCAAATAAATATTGGTAAGGGCCACTGAATATTTTAGGCTTTGTGAGCCATACTCCATCCCAACTACTAAACTTTGCCCTGGTAGCCAAAAGCAGCCACAGACCATCTGTAAATAAATGGGCCTGGCTATGTTTCAATAAAACTTTATTTATAAAAATAGCAACTGTCCAGATTTGGCCCACAGGCTGTGGTTTTTGGGGTAGTAGTGTGCTGTCCCCTGGTTTAGATTGTAGGTCACACGTACAGAACAACTTGCCCATTTGTAGACAGGTTGCCTCAGCTCTGAAAAGGCCAAGGACTCCTGTCTATTAAAAAAAGCATTTAAGGAATATGTGAAAACCAGCTTAAAATATTAACAAATATGATCTAGACATAAACAAGTATGGCAGAGGATTGTGATGAGCATAGCACACAAATTAAGAAAATTCAATAGGAGGACTTTGTGAAGACGCTAAAGAATTAGAATGTCAGGAGACAAAAAAGAGACAGAGGGATGGTGAAAACTAGTTCTGGAAGATTCCAGAGTCCACTTGGAGTCAAGTGAACAAATATGCTTCTCCAAATCAGAGCAAGCTGACTCTGTAACCTGGTTTCCACACAGTCTTCCTCTTAGAACTGCGAACATGCCCCCTACACAAGCACAATAATAATTCCTCCTCTCTAGAGTCCCTGGGAGGTCAGATCCTCCAGCTGCAGGAACCAGGTAAGAGCGAGGCGGGATCTGTTGCCACCATTTTAATGAGGAAACTGAAAGCCTGAAGACTTGGGAGAGGCAGAAGCAGGATCTGACATCAGGTCAGCCTGACTCCAGAGCTCCCATTTTTTTCTCTGCTACAAACAGCCCTGGAGACGTTCAGGAAAGAAGCCAGAAGGGGTAGGAAGTAAAAGAAAGGGGAAGTCAGACAACAGGATGGAAGAGAGGAGAAAGGAAACAATGCCTATCCCAACAGAGGACAGAGCCAAATGGAGGCAGGAAGAAAAGGACTTACCCTTGCCTTCACATATTTCTTGGCAGGGTTTGGAGGGAAAGCATTTGAGAATAAGTAAGAGTGAGTCCAGAACAAACACATCAGCACTTTAGCTAAGTGGGTGGCTTAGGGGCCTGTTAAACGTGACAAAACTAGAGCAAAGCAGGGGAGGCGGCCACAGAGTTAATCTAACTATTCACACTCTGATGGAAAAAGGCAAGGAAATAAGCAGAAAAGGAGTGAAGAAATTGAAAGTTTGTCTTCTTTAAAGCCAAGCTACTATCATTTTATTTTTAAAGTAGTTCAGCTTCTTAGCCTGAGGCCAATGGGATTTGACCACTGAGGAATGCAAAGGTGTCATTAGGCTCCAGGAAAGCCAGCGAGGGAAAATGGATTTTGCTCAGGTCACCGGGAGATACCAGAGGTTGTTGATCATTACCATTGATTGTTCCAAAGGAATGACTTGGTCATGATAAATTGTTCGAATAGTTTCTGCAGTACTTTTCAAGGACTGTTTCAAGTTTCCTTGGGGCTAAGAAGAGAATAAAATAAAGAAAGATCAGCACCTTCTGTCCAGATGCTGGAGCACTCACTTTAGTCACAGGAACTCCCAGAAGGGCAGCCATGACATAAGCACGCAGCCCTCCTTGTACCATCAGGCTGTGGGCCTGGGGGTCGGCTGGGAGGGTCAGCACCAAAACACCCATTTCAAATCACAGAACCATGGACTCTCAGCAAGAACCCACTCACTAGCTGTTCCCAAGTGCCAGGGGCTGCACTCTCTCTCTCTCTTTCTCTCTCGCTTCACCATGAGAAAGCCACTGCAAGGTGATTTTACAGTGGCTATACCCCCATTTTACAAATGAGGAAACCAAGGCTCAAGTGAGAAATTTTTATTTAACCCACACTTAAATAGTGTTTAGTATATTAACATCTAACAATCCTATTGTCCCCATTTCACAGATGAGGAAACTAAGGCACAGAAGGGTGAAATATCTGGCCCAAGTTCCCACAGTTAGGAAATGGCTGAGTCAGGATGTAAATTCCAGTCTTCCTCCGGAGCCCAGCTTCCTCCTCACCAGGCTCTGCTGTTCTTGAAAGGGACCAGTTACAGCCATTTCGTTGCCAGCCAGCCGAGGAGCTGATGAAGGGGAAGCTTATGGGGCTTAGACGAGGTCTCTGCCTTCCCTTATGCACTGGTTATTGGCGATGCAAAGCACCAAACGGACTCTCCCTCCCGCGCCCTCAGCTACCATTCCCTGCACTGCAAGAAAAGTGTGTGCACGTGTGTTTGGCAGTTGGGGGTCGACGGGGTGAAAGCAGATCCGGCTAAAGCAGGGAGGGCACCAGCGCCCAGAGCAGACGCTGGGAACAGCCGCGTGCACCCTGAAGCCGCCTGCAAACATTCACATGCTCACAGACATTGGGCCACGTGGCAATGGCTCTGGATGGGAACTTCTAACATGCACAAGAGGCGTTTTTAAACAAGCGGTGACTTGTGGTGTAAGGAACCTCTTCCGCAGCTTCCCTGAGGACGGTATTGACATTCGACATCTATGATTTAATGGAACTGTTTGAACTCACCAAATCATTGGCTTTTGCTTCCAGGTTATCTGCAAATAATGAAAGATTTAGTTCTCCGGGAGTTTTATTCACCTACAAAAGAGGTGAAAAAAACTGTGTTATGCATATGGGATTTTTCAACCTTAACAACATCTAATAGGCAACAGAGTGAACCTGGGCCACCAGCATAAAGTAAACTCTTCCATAGGTGACAACATCTACGTTCTCTTTTATACATATAAAGCCATATTACTTTCATTTAACCATATTCTTCAATCGTAAAGAGAAATGAAATACTGATACAGGCAACAACATCGATGAATCTCAAAGACTTTAGGCTCCATGAGCGGGACCAGTTAAGGCCATCAGACACAAAAGGTTCTCTACTGTGTGATTCCACGCACATGAAATATCCAGAAAAGGTAAATTTGTAAAAAAAGAACACAGGCTGGTGATTGCCAGAAGCTGGGAGGGGGGAACGGGGAGCAAATGCTTGATGGGGATGGGACTCTCTTTTGGGGTAATGAAGATTTGGAACTAGAGAAAGGTGGTAGCTGTGCAACATCGTGATTATGCTAAATGCTAGTGAATTGTTCACTTTAACCCAGTTAATTTTATGTTACGTGACTCTTACCTCAGTAAAAAAAGAAAGGAAAAACACATATCCCATGCTCTAGTTTCCCCCAAAAGATCACGCACAAATACATGGATCATACCGCAGCCAAGTAGGCATCATAATCTATTTTGTCTATTCCTGAAGAATTGAAATCCAGAAGGTGTTTCCTTCCTGCCTCATCCAGCAGAACAACATTGTCAATATTTACTTGCATGTTTTCAAAATCATTGATTATGTTTCCGGTATACTGTGTGACAAAAAAAAAAAGTTATAAATAAGTTCAATCTTTTCCAAGAATGTCACATGCTTAATGCTTTTAAAGAGTAATAAAATTACACAGGACAAAAAAACCCCACACACATTTGACATTTGACTGGCATTCCTTCCTGGTGCTCTTCTCTCCCCTGCGTTCCTTCCCTGCCTCCCTGCCTCCTTCCTTACGCCCCGTGCCAAGGACCAAGAGAGGAGGTGGGATGCAAAGCAAAATGACACTGCATCTCCACCCTCCAAGGCCTCAAAGGGAAGAGGCAGTGTCATAATCAAGGCACGTGAACTGCATCAGGACCCCAGGGGAGGGGGAGAGCCTTCTAAAGCAGGGGACGTGGGAGGGCAACAGAGAGGAGGGGGCTTCTGAGTGAGTCTTGACAAACAGAGATGCTGAAATGGGCTGGGCAGGCTGCATCCCAGGGGAAGGAGGTGGTGCACACAGACTTGGGTAGTAGGGAGACTGGAGATCATGGGAACATGGTTGATGACTTGCGGTTGTCCTGAAAGCAGGCAGTAGTTTCAGGCAGTGTGTGGTGCTCTCCAACTCTACTCATCACAGTGCACAGCAAAAATGATACATGGCATGTTGGGCAAATGACTAGAGGGCATCTGTTTAGGGCTTGGTTACAAAACTAGATTTTATTTACATATACATACAAGGAATAGTTAGGGAAGATAATCAATACCAAATTTGTATATAGCTTTCAAATAATCTCTCCACATTAGAAAACCATCAGGCCATTATGGTCTCATGGTACCTCAGGAAGCCTGCAGAGATGCCTCAGTGGGCTAGTGGTAGGGTTTGGGTAGCAACCTCTTCCCTTGGTATCCCTTGGAATCTGCCTCCATTTTGGAAGCCTACAAGAAAGAAGTCTCCTTAGATTCTTTCCTACACAGCTGAGAAGACCAGAAGCCCTAGAGGCATGGGGCAGTGGGGGCAGCCCAGCAGAGACAGGCACCCTGGGCCTGGGCAGCTCAAACTCTCTTGCTCCTTCTTCTGGCCAATGCCCTCTGGAGTGGGCTCTCCTCAGAGTCTTAAGACTCAAGACTTGGGGGTGGGCTCAGGCAAAAGATGAGGGGAGGTCATTCCATTCCATCCACTTCCACCCTTGTTGCCATGCTGTCTCTTGTCAAGTGCCCACAGAGCCCTCCAGAGCCCCTCCTGGAGCCCCGGGCCCAGCCGTGATTCATAAAGAGTGACGATTGTATGGGCCATAGTTCTTGGTGCCTCATTCCCTCTTTAGGGACCTGACAGAGAAAAGCAGCTGGTCTCGGAGAGCCAATACCCCTGGGAAACAGGTGGGTTGTTCCTCTAGGAACATCGACACTCAGTGAGATAAAGCCTTTCCCTGTGAGTGTCTGCAGAGAGGCCCCTGCAGAAGCTCTTGCGTAATCTGCGAGAGAAACTCAGGCCCCAAGACAGACAACTGGTTGGGAGGTGACGAAAATGTTCTGGAATTAGATAGAGCTGAGGGTTGCACAACCTTGTGAATGTACTAAACGTCACTTTAAAACGGTTAATTTTATCTTATGTGAATTTCACCTCAATAAAAAAAACAAAGATAACTGGATTTAGTAAAGAAATATGTGAATGTCATGATTGGTTCTAATTACTTACGTCTTGAATGTTGAGATGTTCACTGATATTGTAGCTGTTCTCTAGCTTAAGTGTGGCATAAATGCCTTTGTTTTCTTTGCAATCCCTATAGGAATAAACAGAGAAATCACGATGCAGAAAGGCAGCTGTGGTTCCCTCTGTCCACTGCTATGGACGGAGAGAGACGTTCAGTGTTTCTCTTTGTTCAATCTGTGCACATAGGAGCAGCTGCTGGTGTCAACACAGTAGGAAGTCCCCAGTGGCCACACAAATCCCCCCAGTGCCCACCATTCTTGATGTCATTCCCACTTACAAATGCCCCATTTTTGGAACAGATACAATAGGATTGGTAAATACGTCTTTCTGTCTGTCTCCTCTGCATGCCTTCCAGTGTTGTGAGGGACCGCAAGGTTACATCTTGGGAAGAAGTAAGTTCCCATTAAAAAATCTCCAAAACAACGCTTGCTAGAATGAGGTGTATTACAAAGCATATCACGGACTTTATTCAAAGATTCTATCAAGCCCCCGCCAGACCTTCTCCCTTCACATTTCCAGGGTGGAGCTTCACTTACTAAACACGTGGTTGGATATATACGCTAATGGCAGGATGGAATAGGAAGGGGCTGTGAACACCCAGGCAGTCAGCACACTTTGGCTATAAACCTAACTGGGCCTCACCAATCCGTGCTTCCGTAAAATGTGAAAAAGGCCTCCTCAACTGAGCTAAGAAGAGTCGGCCTCATCTGATGGATATCCCTGCCACCAAGACAGCCACTTCCTGGGGGCATCCCTGCCTTGTCCAGCAACCAGAGCTCTCCGATCCGGAGGGATGCCTGGGGGAGGCAACATTCCCATATCCCTAGGAGGTGTGATACTCCTCTCAGGGAACCCCAAGTAGGTTGGTGTTGCTGGGACAGAGAGCTTGACACACTAATAAACAGAGGAAAGACTGGGGAGTTCTGCAGGAGCCAAAATCACAAAGAGCTGGCAGGCCAGGCCAAGAAGCTTGGTCCCGTCCTCTCAGCCTAGGGATGGTTTAATCGGCACAGAAACTCCAATGGATTGATAGCACCGGCCTAGAACATACTGTTGAGAAGGATCCTAAGACTCCCTGGGCTAAGTAGAAGACCACACTGATTCCTAAGGTCTGGCATGAGGGCAAAGTAAGAGGGAGTGGACACGTGTGCCACTCATTTGCTGTCTCTGCCAGAGGTGATGGGGAGCCGTTGAAATGAAGGTTAAGTTACTATTATCATCATTCATATTGAAGAGAGAGGAAGTAGAACTGCCCAAGATCACAAAGCCCCCAGTGGTAGAGGCAGGACTAGAGCCCCGGGCAGCCTGACTGCACAGCCCGGACCTTTAGCTGCATTGCTATTTGCCTGGCTTTGATTTGGACACATCCACTGAATTCTTGTTATACGGCATTTACTTGGGGCGGGGCGATTCCTGAACAAGAGTTTTCACAGGGTCCTGTGAATGCACGTTAGCGTCACCTTAACCAATGAATCCTAGTGATTACTGGGCAGAGGGATTTTGAGACATTACCACTTCAAGGTCTAGAAGACTTTCAGGGGAAAGATTATCTTTTTGTTCTTATTTCTACTTTCTCTCGGATGAAACTAGAGAACAGCTTAATTCTGAAACTGGAAAATCTTATCATTAAGGTTAAAGATGCTTTGAAAGCAAAATTCTCATTCTGGAAAAACAACATTTGAAGTAGCAAAAAATGCATAATGCAATTATTTATACCTGTAAACTTGTTCAAAAGTGAGATTAATATCTGGTTTGTTAAATACCATGCCAGAGAGATAGAATTTCCAATTCTCATTGAGTAAATATGGTGTGTCCAAAACCTAGAACAAATAAAAAAAAATTTTTTTTAAAAAGTTTCATACTAGCATACATACACATAATAAAATGAATATTCTGTTAAATATATTTTGGAGGTTTTCTTATCATGATTTTCCTCATTGATTTTTCAACTTAAAACTAGAAAAGAATAGGGCAACTGGAATAAATCGATCAACCCCTGGGTAGCATCAATAGAAATTACTGAAATCACTTTTTTGGAGAATACTTCTTTTTAGTAAAACAAACATATTATAAATGGGAGAAGAATAGACAATTTGATTTAGAATAGCTAATAGAAAGCCATGAAGCAGTTGCCCCATCTCTTCACTATTTTTCTCTAGACAAAATGAGCTAAAACGAGCACATTCTCTGACGTCACATCATATATGAGGCCTAATTAGTGCCTGACCCATATATGCTTGAGGAGTGTAAATGGTTTCAAAATATCTTCTACTTTCTAAGAATTCCTTTTTAATGACTTAACACAGTACAGAAGGTAATGAAGTCTGGCTTGATGTATTATTTTTTATCAAGAGATCAAATGGAGATAATTTGACAAATTGATGCTCCCAATTTAATTTTCCCCAACCAACTGAATAATTAAAATACCGTGACAACAACTGGTTACTTTAGTAGTCATTCACTTGATTTCATAACAGATTGGAGGTGGAAAAATATATTCAATACAACAGGAAAATGGAAATATATTTTAAAAAATCAGAATCTGGAGAAAAACACTGGAAAGCCAGAGTGAAAAGACAGACACAGAGACTAAAAACTTCCTCGTTAATTAATGAAGCGAAACTGTGAACTGGTCCCATAGTGCCTGTAGTAGTTGGTTTTAGAGGGAATTAAATTTAATTCCTAACCATCTCATCAGATTTCCACTAGGGATGACCCTCTGCCACGAGGCATGTAATTTATCAGTCTTTTTCACTTCAAATTTAGGGCCTCAAACCATCTGTGTGGGCAACTGTCATCTGGGAAACTCTTTGAAATGCCAGAAATCTCCTGAAGTGTGAGAGGAACCTGGGAATTTATCTCCTGATGTTTTCAGCCACATTTGAGAATTACTGCAGAGGAGAATTCTATTCTTCCAACGTATTACAATCCATATTCACGAGTAGGCCTTAATTTCTGGTACTGCTTTCCTTGACATTCAAAAAATAAGAATACTACCTAAGTTTTTTGCTCTGACAGGTAGAAGGAATCTCAACATATTAAATAAAAACCAAACTGCTCATCTTTTTGCACAGCTCTTGAAGAAACCCGCAAGATATGGGAAATCGAAGTTTCTGCTCAAGCCCTTCCTTCATAGGCACAAAAATCATACTTACCTGGAATAACTTCCTGTTTTGGTAAGGTTCACAGACCAGTTTTTCCACATTTCCACCAACGACAAAAGTAACAACCACGATGGCCATCAATATCCAGCAAAACAGAAAACTTACTCCAACCCCGCTGGCAAAAAAAAATAGAAATAAAGTTAATAATTATACAAGGAATTATTCAATATTACCTGCCAGTACTTACAAACTCTACCAATTTAACATATAAAATGGACCTGTAGTTTCAGCTTTTTGCAGGTTAAACGGGCTAGCCTACCCAGGAGTGAAGATAGACGGTGGTGAGCGCTGTGATCTTTCAGTTCTAGGCACACATTTAGGAAATGCTTACGACTCAGTTCATGGGCTACCTGCAGCCCAGCACTGTGGTTCAGACATGAGTCACGGTTCAAACTCTAGAGTTAGTTGAGAGAACAAAGGCTTTCTGCAGAGAACACAGTGAGTGGGGAGGTTCTGACGCAGGAAGTAGACACTTGGGAGTCTGAAAGAGGCTAATATGGCTCTGCACCCACAGAGGTGGCCCAGAGTGACGTGAATGGCAGCTTGAGAGGCAGGGAGGGGTGTAATGGATGTGGCCTGGTGGATCCAGGGAGGGGAACCTATGGACAGACTTTAAGCTCAGGAGAAACACAACCCAATTTCTCTCTGAAGAACACTCTTGGCAGAGAGTGAAGGATGTGATGGACAGATGCCCACATGGATGGAGATACCGCTGAGGAAGCTGTTATCCGGCCAGGGATGGTGGCCTGATGTGGCTGGTGGTGGTAGAGAGAAGTTAGCAGATGAAAGAGATATGTCATAGGAGGCAGATGCAGTAGGATGTGGTGAGGAGTTTGCACTAGAGGTGAAGGAAAGGAAGGGGCCAAGGGTGACGCCAGAGCTGTCAGCAGGGACAGGGAACACTGATGCTCTGAAAGGGAAGAGAAAATGGGATTTTGGCCATGTCGCTGTAGAGGAATCAGCCACGTGTTTGGAGCACAGACATCTGGGCTACAGGCCTGCAATAGAGAATCAGCAGCTTAGAAATGATCACTGATCCCTGATCCCTGGGGCTGGGACTCGGGGCAGGAGCAGCCTAGGACTGGGCCTGGGGGACTGCACCATTTGAAGAACAGGGGGTGGAAGGCCAGTTGGCAAATGAGACCAAGATGAAGAATCAGAGAGGTAGGAAGGAAACCATAGGACGTGATGTCACTGAAGGGGAGACAAACGAGTGTTTGCAAATGGAGGGGTGGTCAGCTGCTCCAAACACTGCTGAGAGGACACATTTGAGAAGGACTAAAAAAAGTCCACCGCACTGGAGACACAGAGGTCACTGTTGACCTGAAAGAAGTGGAGGGACAGGAGAGTAAATCAAAGTGGAGCGGGTTGAGAAGTAAGTGGTGGATAAGAAAACAGAGGCAGCAAGCACAGATCTTGAGTCTGATGTGTCTGTGCAGAGAGGGGAGTCAGAGGGAAGAAGTGGGGTTGGTAGAGGTTTTCTATTTTCGTTTTTAAAGAGGGAAGAGAACAGAACATGTTTAGGTGTTGAGAAGAAAGTCTAGGAGAGGGGAAGAGAATGAAGACGCAGGAGAGAGAAAGGATGATCATTACATCCTCAGGACGGTGGGCAGGGATGGGATGGAGAACACAGCAGGTGGGTGGGACGGGCCTAGATGGGAGACCCCTCTGCACCTGGCATTGCTTGTGTGTGAATGCAGGGGCATTTGGGGGTTTGGTGACGGGAAGCTGTACAATGGCTGATGAAGGAGGTAAAGCCATCTGCTAAGAGAGGGGGGGAAATGAGGAGGAGGGATGGATCAGAGTGGAAAAAGCCACTGCAGATTAAAGGAAGGAAAGAACAAAGGAAGGAAAGAAGGAAAGAACTCACAAGGCTTTGGAAGGTCCATCTGAGGCGGAGAGGAGGGGGTCATACTTTCGTAGGGATACCAATGTGCCCAATTGTATGACTTTTCTCCAGCAGTGCTCAGTTGCCCAGATGTAGACACAAAGAGAGCAAACTCTGAAATCAAACTAGGTGGAACAGCCAAATCATCTACCATCACTGGTGCACACCAGGAATGATCCTCAGGAGTGTGTAGGCTGATGTTCTCGACAACAATAGCATCCCCTCCTAAGGGCATGATTCTCCCCAGTGCAAACACTCAAGGCATAATGACAAATATTTGCACAGCTCTGCTAAAATGGATAGCAAGATGTGTTCACTGGAGGGGCCCTCTGTCAGCCTGACCTTCTCTGACCTGCAAGGCTTTTGAGTTAGGGAGAGTATAAAGAAGAGGAACGCACGCAAGGGCTATGCCAGCCACCAGGGTTTTAACTATGTGCATGAGCGTGTGTGTGTGTGTGTGTGTGTGTGTATGCGCGCATGTATTAGAGTTATAAAAATAATCAAAGCCTATGATAGAACACTTCAAAACAACACCACTACTCTAAATAGCATGCTGTTAACCTTTCCAGCCCTTGTTTTCTAAATATGCATATATCTAGATAAGAGGTAGGCATTCAACTGCCCAGGGCCTGTTTTTGTAAGGTCACTGAGATAAGAATGGCTAATATGTTGTAAAGAAGGAGAAAGAGGAGAAACAGAATAAGAACACGAAAAACAAGAATGAGATGAAGGAGCCAAAGAAGAACAAGAATAATAATCCGCAACAAAGACTCTGTGGTCAGCAGAACCTGAAATATCTATTATCTGGACCTTTATAGAAAAAGATTGGCTGATCCTGGATCTACATGGTTAAAATAACCCATGCACAATTTTGAACCTTTGTCAAATGTATTATCATATAAACTTTCATCAATCCAGGATAGGCAACCTGGTTACCATTTCAGTGCCCACATGACCTTCCACTCCTCGGCAGCTGACATTTATGTCATTTCCAAGGCCTCACTGTTATCACTAAAACGGCACAAACACTTCTCTGCTCATGATGCTTTGTCCATAGTTTGCTTACTTATTTAAAATAGATTCCCTAAGATGGGAATGACTTGACCAAGGGGATTGGATTATGGCCTTTTGGGGCCCTGCAACAGCTTAACTGCTTTCTGAAATATCTAAGCCTCTGAAACTGACACAGGCCATATGCCAGTGTGCCCATTTCGTGACACATGCGGTGACACCAGGTATTAGTTATTCTTCAAAGATCTGCATAATCTGGACATTGTTTTCCAGAGCTAAAACTCAAAGTTTTGTAACAGGCTTCGGTATGAGAGATTGTTTTCTGACTGCCTTGGTTAGTCCACTTATCTCTGGGGAGACCCTCTATGTCCACACTGTAGCCCATTCAGCCCCTAAAATGCTCCCTGGACCCTCAGAAGACACAGGATCAGAGTGGCCCATGCTCTTGATCTGATAGTGTCACCGTTTTTGAAGTGTTTTGGTGGCAGCTGAACTAAATCTATTCTTTCTTGTTTCTACAAGCAAGTAAACAGTTTTAAAGAAGAAATTGCATTCTTCTAACCAGTCTGATTAGATTGACTACACTTGTAATCATTTTTCCCTTTACAACTATCCTATTGTTTACTGGCTGTCTCAAGAGCTGAAAAATTCTGCCAAGCACAGCAAAGCATGCCATGCAGAATGGTGGGCTTCAACCACACAGAAATGATAGCCACCCTCAGTCGCAGACCACCTGAGATGCACCTGACAGCATCTTATAGTTACCAACTTATTCCTACTGCTGAGATCAATCCCGTCACCCCTAAGCCATAGGTTTCCATGCAACTTTGTCGCTTACAGATTTCTTAATCTGAAGCAGAAGGGAGAATTACATCCCAACTGAAGGAGACTTCAGCCTCAATCAATTTGCTTCTTTTTTCTTTGAAGCTAGATATAACATTTTCTGGTTTCATCCCTAATAAAAGTGTGAGTAGAATTTTATGAAAGGCGTACCCTTTCAGAGCAATTTACGCCTCCCTGAAAGCAGTTAAAAAGACGCAATATATAAACTTACCATCAAAACACTGACAAAACAGCCAAGTATCAGGATTATTAAATTCTTAACACTAAACTACTTTTCTACCTGTGTGTGCATTTAAACAAAAAAGCAGAACAAATATACCCTTCCTTGTTGGTTTACTTTGTTCAGTTTAGGCATGTGGGCAAATAGGCTTTTCCATGGGTGGAGCTCTGTCCAATTTTGTCCAATTCTGGCAAACTCTCATGTCATTAGTTTTAAGGTTATTTTTAAGTCTCTGGTGCCCGCATTCATGTTAATAAAGACTTGTACTATACTGGATCCTAAAGGCTTATGGGAAAGGCCTTGGAATCACAGCTCATAAGAAGTTTGATTAATTATTGTAGTGACTCGATGTTTTAAAAAAGCAAGTTAATGCATGTCACGTGCTCGTCAGCTTCTCCTGGTCTGGTACAAGTGACATAAGTAGAGAAACGAGTGCATGTGGCTGAGATTTTGACTCTCCATTGCCAAAGGACTTGTTCCAAATCTTTACCATTGCCCTTGAGCCCCGTCACACTCTCTACTGTCGATTTTCAAATGGCTTATCGGAAAAGAGAATATCAACTTGAAACACACACAGCTTCCTCTCTGGGGAGCATTCAAAGCTTTTACCCCTGTGTCCTCGTTTACATTTCTGGCTCCATCTCCAGTCACACCCAGCTCATGCCCCCTCTGCCTTGTCACATCCTGGTAAAGTTTTTTTCAAAAATACGAACTTGGATATGAATGTCCTTGAAACAAGCACAGATGCTCCAGTCAACTACAGGCTTACCTTTTGCTGGTACTCACACCTGCTCTCATCACTAATTGAGGCTACTTGTCTAAATCCCAAGGGTGCTGGGTTGGCAATCTCTGTTCTAAACCAAGTTTCTAGAGTTTCAAAGTGAACAAGCTAGCTGACCATAAAGAGCAGTGTCTGATACCAGGTCAGTCCTCAGCAAGTATCTGGTGAATTAATGAATGGATGGATTGATGGATGGATGGATGGATGGATGTAGGGAAAAAACTATGGGAATCAAGAAAGCAAACCTGGAAATAATTCCCATGACAGCTGCTTTAAAGAGGAGCCCACCATATATACACAGTGTGTTTAAGCTTATCTGTCAAAGTGCAACTAATGTAGAGTTTTACTTTTTATGCTTGACGGATTTTCCCAAAACAAGGTAAATACAATCACCAAGACGCCTACACTGCTGGAACCCAGAGTGCTTGGCCAGAGGCCACAGGGTCCACGTGACACCAGAATCACCTGCTCTCCTCCTGCACTTCCACCCTGTACACGACAGAGAACAGCAAACACTCACACCATGAGGAAGACGCCTCCGGTGTTGGAGATGCAGCCTCGTCTGGTGGGGGTGGCATTCTGGTCATAGCCAAAGGTGCCACATAGTAAGCCCAGGTAAAAAAAAATCACGATGAGAGTCAGCAAACAGCAGGCAACCAAGCCACCCAGCCACCTGGTGAAGCAAGCACAGTGTTAGTACACATAAAAGAGGCGACACTGTCCTAACTCGAAAGCTGTCGGACCAGGGCTGGAGCAGCTGAGAGTGACACCTGCAATCGAACATCAGATTCCTCTGTGAACAAATTCCTTAGGGCGATACTGTCATGAAAAGAGCCCTTCCCACCCTAGTCCTCCAACCCAACCAACAAAAAACTTTAATTTTTATCTTGTTTGTGAAGCGCTCTTATCAATGTTCATGAAGCATTCCTTCCTTTCTTTGCTTTACTCCCATGGGGCTCAAAAGCAGGGCTCAACTTCTCCAAGGCTACTGATAAGAGTACCCCTTAGGACTTTTAAGTTCTTTCAAGGCTCCTGATGCTGTAAGAGCTTATCATAATGATGATGAGATATGGCTAGATCATGATAAGACAGCAGATAAAGAAACACCGAGTTATTTTCTCAGGTCTTTCTCTAAAATGTTTTGCAGTTCCTGGAATATTTAGGGCGCATGGTGTTCTTTATTGAACCAGAAACTCTCTACATGGCAAATGCTTTGAATATTTTAGAACTTTATAAGCATCCTAAATCAAATGCCTGCAGAATGCAAATCTCAATTTCGTAATGGTCCTGTGAGACATTTCAGGATAATGGATCCTCAATTAGGTCTTACTGGCATTCCCGGAATGTACAATGCCCTTTTCCAGCAGCCAAGGAACATTCAAGGGTAGAAATGCTTCCCAATCTTTAAAATACTAAAATATAAAGAATTTACTTCTGCGACAAAAGCCACCACTAAAGCTTTTCATTGAATTAAGAGCAATCTCAATAATTATAATAATAGCCAACCGCACCCATTCTGTGGCATTTTGTTCCAGATACTGGGGACACAAAATTAAATAAGCCATGGAACCTGGCCTCAGAAATCTTTTACAGTCAATGCACGCCTCATCTGCTTAGATTTCTTTTTAAAATAAGCTTATAGTCTCAGGGCAGGGTGAAGTGAAAGGAAGGGGGAACCGACTCGTAAGCAGATAATTGTACCATTCTTTCCATGTGTGAAACTCTGACCTCTAATGAGATTGGAAGTTCACTGAGAAAAGTTGGGTCTTATGTTTCTCCTGACACCTGCTGGTGTGGCCTAGCCCCATGGGGGGAAAGCAGCTTGTTGATTACAAGGCAATAATTGCTAGCCTAGGCAGACGAGGGTTGAAACCCACCTGTGCCGTGTTGCTGCTGGCCTTAAGTAAGTCACTTCACCTCCCTGAGCCTCAATTCCCTTGTCTATGAAACAGGGTTATAAACAGAACACAACCCAGGGGGTTTTTGTGAGTATCAGGCGAGATGCCTTGCGTAGAGCACTTGATGGGCACGCTGTAGCTGTTCCCGAATGCCAGCATTTGGACAATATTCTTTTCTTCGTTGGTTTATAAAATAAATATGTAGAGGTTGGTTCTTACAGAAAGAGCATCTGAGAAACCAGCAAATTTTTCGAAGAGCTCAGGTAAGCAGCTGTTGTTCCCAGCAGCTGCGGCCTCATTAGAAACTGCTGGTGGTGGCTTTGGCCCTGGGAGATGGTGGTGGACATCTCAGACAGAGTGCTGGGGAGGAAAGCACTTAGACTGGAGGTATTTAGAGGATCATGTGAGATGTGAGATGCACTCTGCCCTCTGAAAGCCTCAGCCCCATGGCCTCCTCTGGAACCGTTCTTACGGCCCATATCTATGGAGATTCTGGAGAATTTCATTCCTATATGGGTTTTTCTTATGCAAGAGCACAAGATAAATAATAAAATTATCCAAATGCCCTTCTTAGTTACTTCTAAGCTTTAAAATTCTCTTACATGCCTTAGACAACTATAACTAAGATTCTAGAAGCCACTAATAACATCAAAATTGCAAACTATTGAATATTTGTCTCAAGAACTTTCAGTCTTCAAATTAGAAAAAAAAAGATAGAATGCTTCATGAATTTATGTGCCATCCTTGTGCATGTTATTCTCTGTGTAGTTCTAATTTTAGTATATGTGCTGACAAAGCCAACACTTTAACTTTTTAAATAACGTAAACTACGGTTAACACCTACCAGGTTATGGCTTCTTTGTACAATTTGCTCTCATAAGATTATCCTGGTTCTAAATTCGAATTTTTACCCCACTCCATAGCAAGCACCACCCTCCCAGCTGAGCAGCTCAGAGGGGACTCTCACCTGTATGAATCATATTCTTCCAACGTGGGTAAACTGCGGTGGATGTAAGTTTCAGTGCTGTTAATGTAATCCATGAAATTTGACAGCTTATCCTGAATAGGAATCTGTTTGCTTATATTACCGATATTAGAACCAATGGAATTCAAGGTACTTTTGATACCTGAAAACAAAGATACCTCAGTTATGTATTTTCAAACCCAGAGGAAACAGAAACTTCGTTTTGGAACCTAACTGAAAAGTTTGAAGCACTTTAGTTTTTCCCATGTTATGTATGTATTTAAAATACAAAAAGGTTCTAGAACAAGCATGAATGTAGCCAAGACCATCAAAACGCAATCACTTAACAAAACAGCAAGCTATGAGTGCTGACTTTAATGATATGGTGCTGAAATCAAGCCAGAGTTTTCTTCTTTTACTTACTCCAGTAAAAAACAAAAAAACAAAAAAACAAAAAAACATGAGGTGATTGAAATGTATGGTATGCCTACCATGGGCCAGGCACTTTTACAAGGGTTAACTCATTTATTGCACTGAGGTAGATATTCTTAATCTCATTTTGCTAATAGTGACCCTGAGGCTCATAGCAGTTAAATTACTTGCCCCTAGGTCTCTTTTTCAGAAAGCACTAGAAACGGGATTTGAAACTCAGGTGTATCTAACTCTAAAGCTTCTGTGAAATGATTTTGGAAAGAAAAACTAATAATATAATAATTTCATCCGCTTCAGAAATGGCATTCAGAAACATAGTGGTTCTCTAGGACGGAATTTTTGAACAAGCGGCCCCAGGTGATATTTTTGATAAAAGTTTATTTGACTCATACAAATTGAGACTTATTAAAGAAGTGTATCTGTGTCTCTTATATTCCTAAGCAATAGTATTCCCAGTGGCCAGTTTTTATTAATACCCATCCTGATCTTTCAGAGAGGAGACAATTTCTGCTTTTCTGGAAAGTGTCTGTCCATCCTGACGTTGGTCCTGGGATCAAAGCTGTGAGGGGTGAGGGGTGTCACCTGGCCCAGTGCTCACACAGGTCTGAAGTGGCCTTATCCACAGTAATTCTTGACATGGACATACTAAGAACACACTAATCAGTTAGAAGTCCACTGATGCTGAAAGGGAGATTTCTAGGATTTTGAGATGTGGTGTGTAGACTCCCCATCTCCTATGAACAGTTCCCTAACCCTAGAATGGAGCCCCTTCTGCTTCTCAGGCTGTCCCGCCCTCTCACATGACCCCGCTTTCCACCTGTGCAGCTTTGGTGACTCTGCATGTGGCTGGTGCCCTCTCTCAGTGAACACTACTGCAGGCCTCCATTTAGATGCCTCTTCCTCCAGAAACCCTTCCCCTACCCGCTCCCCACCTCAGTCCCCTTGCATGTACCTTGTTGTGTTGCCAGAGTGGGGTAAATGGCATCTGTATACACGCTCAGCTGAACGGTAGGCAGGGGTCATGCCTTACTCACCTGCCATCCGCAGAGCCCAGCAGAGCCTGGCACACAGTACGCACCTAAAACATGTGTGCAGAGTAGGACCAAAGGATCAAGACATGAGAGGTAAGGGTTTTTATTTGTTTTGGAAGGACATGAAAACAAACAACTGACATTCAGGCTGCTGGAGTGGCACTCGCTCAGACCTGGGAAAACTCTGGCTTGTGTTCAGGCAACGACACCATGTGCAATGGGCCTCGCTCACATGTACTGCACACCTTGCTCTGCCAGACTTACAAGGGAGGGCTGCACGTATAGGCAGAAGAAGTCCCGAAAGGAGAAACAAAGAGAGTAAACACAGAGATTAGTAAGAGGGTGGCTACCAGACGCACAGCGTGTTAGCCTTCAGATGCTAGCCTAGGAAAGCATGAGCATTATCCTTAATACCTTAATATTTTAAAGTAGAATCTTAGATTAGACTAAAGAGAACCCACAAAACATCTAAAGCACTAGATAGTAGGATACAATATTTTTCACCCAACGTCCTACTGTGTTGAAAGAATGCCATTAGGAAAAGAAAGAATCAAATACCTCTAACAACATTTTAAAACCATTTGGTCAACAGATAAAAAGAAGCACAGAGATGATTTTTCTTTTTAAAAAAAGAGAAGATAGTCTTAGATTGGTTCAGAGATTTCTTCTCTTAGCAAATAACCCAGGTTTATCCCCAATCCTGCACAAAGAACTGTTTATGCTGCATTCTTTCCCTGTACATTCGCCCCAAATAGCATAACCTGAATACAGTGTGACTCAGTCATTTACGGGCAGGAGAATTCTCCCAGCATCAATTCTGTCTCTCCAAAACCGTAAGACACCTAGACGGCAGATGAATACCTTCCTAAATAGACAAAATAAGTCCTTATGCCTAGTATTCCTTAAAAAAAAAATTTAAGTTCTTTTAGAAAATATAATAATCTACAGTTTTTCCCTCAGTGAGAAAAATCAGAATGCGACCTTCCAAACTATGACTTTCGGGAGCTCGGACAGCTCACGATGAAGGCTCGTCTTGACAGCACAGCCCTCCAGCACGCAGCTTCCGGCCAGCTGCTAATCAGTGTCCAACAGAAGGATTATTACTTTTTTAAATCCACTTCACTATGTGAAGCTGGCACAATTGAAAAGCTCTGATATTTGTTTAGTTTTCCAGGTTTTAGTGAGAGAATACTTTTTTAAGAGGGAAAAAGAACAATAAAATTCTTAACAATACATTTCTTCATACTAACCAGACAATTCTTAAGAAGGAGAGGTACAAAATTACTTCAAACTGTGAATCTCACCTGATATCAGGTCCGTGGTTTGGTTTTGCACCATCTCAGGTATATCATTAAAGGATTTATAGCCCTAAAAAACAGTTCAAAATAAATTGATATACATAGTAAGTACAAGGGCAGTTAACTAGTACTCACTTTTCAGCTTACTATGCAGTAGAAAAACAAAAATGCAACGTTCATCTTAAGGCTGAAATTATTATATGGTCATTAAAAATGTAAAAACTAAATTCTCCTTTAGAGAGGACTTTCTTTAAATTATATCCATCAAAGATCACATTAAAAGTTTTTAATTTTTAACTTTTAACTCATGTTAAAAATTTGAATGTATCTATATCAGTGTTTCTCAATTAGGGGCAATTTTGCCCCCCAGGGGACATTTGGCAGTGTCTGGAGACATCTGTGTTATCACAATTGTGGGAGAGCTACTGGCATTATGTGGAAAGGAGCCAGAAATGCTCATAAATATCCTACAATGCACAGGACAGCCCCCACAACAAAGAATTATCCAGCCCAAAGTGTCAGTAGTGCTGAGATTAAGAAACTCGGATCTGTATAAGGTACGATGTGCTGATACAAAGTGAATTTCTAAGAAAAGAATCATTTTCCAATGCAATTCCAAAATTAAATTGGAGATTGAGTCTCACAGAAAACAATAACGTCTTAAAACACAAGCTTATAGAGACTACAAATTGCAGGGAGGCTAAAATGAAAACAGAAACAGCCAGGGTGACCTGTATCACTTAGGGCTAAATCCATGACAGGCAGACATCATCGTTTCTGAGTAACTCTATGAAACATCCCGCCTCTCCTCTGGCAGGGGTTTAATTTCGTGTTTCTTAACCATCTGCTGGTGTACTTAGCCATCTGCTAGGGAACACCACAGCAATTACAACCTGTTATGAAGTGAATGTCTGTGTCTGGGAGTATGTTGAAATCCTAACCCCCAAAGTGATGGTTATTTGAGGGGGGGCAGCGCTTTGGGAGGTGATTTAGTCATGAGAGTGGAGCCCTCATGAATGGGATTATTGCCTTATAAAAGGAGCCCCGAGGGTTCTCTCCACCATGTGAGGACACAATGAGAAAATGGCTGTCCGGGAGGGGTCTCTCACCAGAACCAGACCCTGCTGGCACCTGATCTCGGACTACGGGCCGTCAGAACTGTGGGAAATAAATTTCTGTTGCTTGTAAGCCACGTAGTCTACAGTATTCTTTTACAGCAGTCCAATCTAAGTCACAAACTTTATAAGACTGATGGTGCCAGCAAGTTTCGACTTTAGCCTAGCAACATGGAAGCCATAAAAGAACACCATGACTTCGGTTTCCTCAAAGGTGACTCAGCTACCCAGCACACCAGTGCTTGTGTTGCTTTTCTGTACATCTGACCCCTCTACATTTATCTGTGTTTGGACCTGTTGAGGTCACCCGTTTTAAGAGGTTTTATGCCTGGAAGCGGACTAACAGATCTTCTGGTTCAATTCCTTCATTTAACAAACGAGGTGATACCAGAGTGGGAAGACCAAGAGTTTCCAATGACTTGTTTAAGGAGACAATTTGTCAGTATATGTAAATGAGTGTTCAACAGATATTTGATGAATTCTTTATACCCACGCTAAAGACATAAAGTCAAGAATAAAACTATTCTCCCCCTTTCCTACAGGCCCACGGCACTCTTAGTGAATCATAATCTACATAGAAATACTTATTGTGCACTCAATGTATTAGCTGAATAAAGAGCAACAATTGGCAGGCTATTGGGGAAATCATCTGTATTCCAGATCAATAGGTCCTTCCCTTTTTAGGGTTTACAGTCCAATGAGACAATCGAGACTTTAAAGCAATAATTACAGTTAATGAGATACTTAACGCAGAATCTAAGAATGTAAGACTGTATTAAAAAGGACTTTGACCTGGTCTAGATGCCCAGGAAAGGCCTCATTAAGAAAGTGATACATAAAGCTCAAAGCAGCTAATACCTCGTAGCCTAAGTTGCTGGACAAAGGAGGGGGAAAGAGATGAGAGGGCTAGGCACAGTGCACAGCATATGCAAATGCGCAGAAGTGGAAAGAGACGAAACCAACATGGTTGACTCATAGGTGCAGTGGAAGAGAATCTGGTACAGAACCATTATGGGGTCCAGCACCACACCCATCAAATTCTGAGCACAGGAAGGTGAGATCATGCTTTTCTCTTTACCTCTTATGGTCCTAGTTTGGTGCTTTGCACATAATAGATGCTTAATAAAAACGTCTTGAATTGAAATGACTAAATTATCTGGAAGATAACAGTTATCACCCATCTTGGCAACTCCTCTCCAGCATTTCACTGCTTTTTTTGCTGTTACCTATTTTCTCATGTACTAGTCTATTCTTTAAAATGATATAAAATAAGCCACTGTATTTTTTCCAAAAAACATACCTTTTGGACCTGGCTGGACAAATTTGTTCGAAGAATATTGTTAACTCTATCAATGTGCTCATCCAAAGATGGAAGCTGAAAATTTATAAAACAAAATATAAGCCAAGGTGGTTACTCCCAAAATTATGTCATAAAAAAGAATCATCTGACATCGAGGTCCCAAAGTCTCTATATTATAAGGTATGATCTAAATTTCTCTTGAACAATAGAGTATCATTTGGGGAAAGCACATTCAGCTCAAAATGGCCTCTACAAGCACCAATTTTTAGATGTTTGGAAATTTCATGCTACAGTAAGCTAAAAATGAAGGAAAGAAATTGAACACAGATTGAATATGTGTGAATTCAAAATTTCAGGTACTGAATATTGTCAAATAAAATCGTAAACAGCCTTTTTAAAAACACTTTTAAAAGTAATAGTCTGTGGTTATATTGGTGAGTGTCTGGAATAAATTTTTCATTTACTGTATCATAGGTGGAGTCAAAATGTCCTCTCTATCTCTTACCAATACTAGGACAAATATCATAGGTCTCCTGACATGATGGACTGTGAAAGACACGGTATCATCTTTGCGATATTTCTGACAAATATGCACAACACAAATCTAATCATGAGGGAACATAAGACAAACCTAAATCGAAGGTCATTCTATAAAATAAATGGTCTATCGTCTTCAAAAATCTCAATGTCACAAAAGAAAAAGACTGAGAAACTGTTCCAGATTAAAGGAACAAAGAGACATGACAAATACAGACCATGTCTGCTCTTGGACTGGACCTCAGATGGGAAAATGAAACAACAGTCATAGAGGGCATCTTTAGAAAAATCGGCAAAATTTGAATATAAACTGTGGATTAGATGGTAGTTTTGGGTCAATGTTATATGACCTAATTTTGATAACTGCATAAAGATTATGTAAAGTTAGGAAATGCACTGAAATATTTAGGGGTAAAAGGGCATAACATCTGCAACTTACCTACAAATGATTGAGAAAAGAACAAAATGTATAGCATTTTATGCACACATATGATAATAGTAATAGATGATAGATACATAAATAAACAGACAAAATGATATGATTAAGCAAATGGAGCAAAATGTTGACAACTGGTGAATTTGGAGTAAAGGGTGTAGACAGGGGTTCCTTGTACCAATCTTGTAAATTTTCTGCATGTTTAAAAGGACATCGAGGGGGCCGGCCCAGTGGCACAGCGGTTAAATGTGCACATATGCCATGCTGTGGCAGGCATCCCACACATAACGTAGAGGAAGATGGGCATGGATGTTAGCTCAGGGCCAGTCTTCCTCAAAACAAAAACAACAATAAAAAGACATCAAAATGAAAAGTTACCCCTAAAAGGACTTGATCTCAAACAATTTAAATGCAAGTATAGATCCCAGGCTCTAAAAAACTGTTCAGTGACAATAAAAGTGATTGCAGTAGATATGCAGACACAGACATTGAATGTGAAATATTTAAATAAAGTTGATTCATGAAATTTGAAAGTGGGAAAAATATACCTATGTTAAAATATTGTTTTACGTAAAATTTGGTGTGTATATATATCCCTATCTTGATAAATTAAAAATCATGAGTAGACATGATTATTTTATCTACATCCTTGAACTTTACATATTCACTTTGCTCCAGATTCTTTTTTTCTAATCTTCTCTTTGGGAAAATGGAGAATTACCTTATATTTAGGCATAGGTGGTTAATATACTAGGCATATGATTTTAAAATACATTCTAATTTTTAAAGGGAATGCTTCCTTTTTTTTTTTTTTTTTGGTGAGGAAGATTTGCCATGAGCTAACATCCATTGCTAATCTTCCTCTTTTTTATTTCACTTGAGGAAGATTAGCCCTGAGCTACCTTCTGTGCCAATCTTTCCTCTACTTTGTATGTGGGACGCCTCCGCAGCATGGCTGATGCGTGGAGTAGGTCCACACATGGGATCTGAAACCACAAACCCAGACCACCTAAGCGGAGTGCACAGAACTTTAACAACCAGACCACAGGGCCGTCCCCACTTTTTTGTTTTTAAAGCTGAATTCGTTCCAAAATGTTTCATCAAATCAATCACAGAGAACTCTCAAGCAGGGGTTTCCTGTTGTCCCTTCTCTCCTGCTGGGGCCATTCCAACGTGGCCATCAGATGACCAGGAAGGCAGACAAAGACCCAGGCCACTGTGCACCTGACAGGGGTACCCATGCTTAGCCCTGCCCAGCTGTCCCAAAGACCCTGCCCCGAAACAAGGTGACCCCCCTCACCTGCCCCAAGTTGTTGTTGTAATCCAGCTGGCTTAGAGACGTTCTGATGTCGTTGCAAGTGGCAGCTGCCGGAGGTACAGTGCACACGGGGTCATTGAGTGATTGCTCGAGGTCCCCTTTAACTTTACTCAGGCTGGTGTTAAGTTGTGCGGTTGACTTTTTCAGCTGGTCTAAGGTACTGTTCACATTCAAAAGGGCTTCTTTGGTCTCTTTGATTGCTGTAAGAACACAGTTAGGGTGAGAATAGACGCCCCCACTAGGTCGGCAATGGCAGCTTTCTTCTTATCTACAATAGGGCCCTAAAGAAACTTGAGAGGAACTTGTAGATGACATTGGAAGGCAACCAGAGCAGCCTGCTGGGAGGGACATCAGAGTGGGGAATGCAGGGACAGTGCTGGCCCCCTCTGCCAGCTACTCCAACCAGCTCAGCTTTCCTGCTTGGGGGCTCTTGCAAACAAGAAGCAGGGTGAGCACCAACCCAGGACCATGATGGGGACACCTGGGCAGTGTTAACTGACCAGCATTGGAGCAGCAGCCCAGGAAAAGGTGCCACGGTCCCAGCATTGCCCAGCCTTGAAGAGGCCAGACCAGACAATCCCAAGCAGTTTGCATCCACAGAAAACCGATCACCCCCACACATATTTAGCTATGGATATTCAGAGAGCTGGAATTAAACACAGAGCGATGGTCAGGAGCACGCTTTTGGATTCAGCGGGTTGAGATCTCAGCTTCGACACTCGCTGTGCAACCAGAAGTCAATTCCTGAACATTCTTCGGCAACTTCTTCATCTGAAAATGGTGAAGCCATCACCATGTTCATCATGAAATGTGGGGATTAGAACAATCAGATTGAAACTCCTCAATGGCAGTGAGTCTGTCTGTTTTATTTTGGGAGCCCCACAGCCTAGGACATCCTTATACTAGGAAATCCCTAACAATTGTTTGCTATCCTGATTTCTTTGGGGTGTAGAGCTCCGTGTTCATGACTAGGGAGGTAGCAGATTACAATCCGTTTCCCACAGTGACTTAAAGCCACAGCAGTAAGAGATGTGGAATTTAAATTAGGGGGTGCTGCTTTCCTTCTAAGCAAGTCAGTCTTGCAGGCTCACAAAACAGAGGGCGGAGCATCAAGCCACAACTGGGAAAAGTGTGAATTCCCTTAAAAACTGGTTTCCCCAACTTTCCCTGGCAACCACATAAAACTTGAGTGCTAAAACTACACACACACACACACACACACACGCACTTTTATGCTTCCATGTGGTGGAATCTCACCATAAGAAGTCGCAGGTCTCAGCCCAGTTCCTCTCCTACCTTGTTACAGCACCTTTCGTAAACTATTCCAGCTCTCGGGACCTCAGTCTCCTCATCTGTCTCATCTGCAAATTACGAAGCTGGCTGGGTCATCTCCTCGTTCCCAGCAGAGTCTGTGATGCTAGGCTGTGTCCTAGCAGGTTTGCTCCCAGGAGATGGCACCACCCATCTTAAGCAGATCTGATCTGGCAACAGCTATGCCTGTCATCCAAGACAATGCTACAACCTAGCTTTGATGATTTGCTCTGAGCCCTGGGGAAGCTCCCAGGATCAGACGACGTGACCCATGGACCCAAATTCTATCACCTTATCTGGATAAAAAATCCAAAGTCTGCTTCAAACAATCTTTTCCCTTGAATTTTGGTCCAGTCATATCTTAACAGCATTTGAGACTATAATAATATTTAAGACTTTATTGAAGAGTCGCTTTGGGCCTCAGTTTCTCATCTCTTCCATCTACCTCCCAGGATTATCAGCAAAGCATGGACCAAGTTCCAAGCTCATGTTAAAGCCTCAATAAATATCTAACACGGCAAAACAAGAAACAAAGAACACAATTGCAACTAGAAACAAACAGCAGAATGCAGAACAACATGCCAAAATATACCCCACAACACACAGCTCGCAACACACATCCTCACACACAGAATGCAGAAGAGCATGCCAAAATATGCTTCACACCACACACCTCACATTTTAATGTTGTGTGGTTTATCTCTCATAGCCTTTTCCACTTTGAGCTCAAGACAAGTTATTTTAAGGGATGAAACAAACAACAACAACAAAGAATGACGGATGATAAAATAAATTGACGGTCCAGAAAATGTGTACATCTAGGCAATGTCTATAGACATTCTGGTTTATGGGTACTATTCTCTCATGTTCCAGGAAGGACCCAGAGACAATAAATACATATTTTTTTCCAAAGTCTTCAAAGCATTTTATATCTATAAAATATCTACTGGGTTATAATTCTGGGAGTCACTCCAGACCTACCAAGATCACGTATATATGTATCTGAAGTGAGCAGAAAGATATTTCAGATTCTCAATTTTAGTTACTTAACATTTCCCAACTCATAGCACACGGTTCCCTTGTAGGTCCTGACCTGCAGCTCAAATACGATTTGCACAAATCGATTTGCATGGTTCTGCTCTTTCCAAAGGCCACAAAACACAGAAGGCCGCAAAGAATTTTTAGCAAAAAGTTTGCCCAAGCAGCTTATTAAGCACATTTTAAGAAGCTCTGGCAACAGCAGAAGCTGAACTTAAACTTATTCGGGCTGACTTTGAAAAAAAAATAGAGCTTTAATACTAATACAGGAAGCACTGATGAGAAAAATAAAATCTGTTTTAAGTGCCTTTAATCCAAAGAGAATTATAATTCAAGCATTAAAAACTGGGCAAACCATGGGACAAACGGTAAGGTCCACACCAACCACATTGCACTGTTCATGTACTTTTTGCACAGCCTTTACCTTTACAGAATGTGGGAGCTGGAAGAGATGCTGAAAGACCAGTATTCCCAGTGCACGCACTCCCCAGGGATCTGCCTGCGGGGATGCCTGGCATCACCCCGTGGCCACACCAGCACTTGGACTCCAGATTGGTAACTCCTCCTCCAGAAGATGCTGCTTGCTGTAGATGGCGTGAAGCCCCTACCTCTCCACACTCCCAAAGGGACCCAAATGCCACCCAGTAAGGTCCAGGCAGCACAGGCTACAGTCAGACCGGAGTTTGAATTCCAACTCCACCACTTCCCAGCTACCTGATCTTGGATGAGTTACATGATCTCTGAGCCTCCTTGTCATGAGTTGGTAAAATGAAGGTGACCATACCCACCCCACAGAGTCGTCGTGAGTATTGACTAATATGATGCAGGAAAAGCAGCTGGTACATAGCATTAGCCCCAGGCAGGCCCTCAACACTCAAAAGCTCTCTAAACATTAGTTTATGGCTAACCACTTCTACAAATACTCGCAGTGAACTTTGTTGGCTGACATCTCAGAAACCATGTCACCCCTCTCCCACCTTGCAGCAGACCTGTGTTTGGGCAACATGAGTCCCACACTCAGCTTAAGGAGTGGGCCCTGACTGCCCCAGCCAGCCAATTTCCCCTGTATAGCACTGGTTCAGAGGTGGCCATGGGACCTCAGATGGTCCTATAGGAGGGAAATCTGGGTGAGGAGGAGGAGCAATGTGGCTGGAGTTAGTTCTCTTTCAACTCCAAGGCGAGTTCACATCAGAATGATGCAGACATTGTAGAGAACAGCTAAAAGGAAAAAAATCTCGCCACTAGATCAAGCCTCACCTGAAGCTAGTGACAGTTACATAAGCCAATAATCCACTAAGCTGAAAGCCAGAGATAGATATATTTTCTGTTTGTATCAGATAAATGACATATAATTACTCAAGAGATATTTATAAGAGAATAAGAGAGGTGACTGGACGTTAGCTCAGTGACAATCTTCCTCAAGCAAAAGATGTTAGCTCAGGGCCAATTTTCTTCACAAAAAAAGAGCAAGAAAGAGAGAGAGAAAGAGAGAGAGAGAGGAGACTGGAGAGATTTGATTGTAGAGGCCACAGAGCCAGCCCAAATCATTATTAACTGTTTGGTGAAGCACACTTGAAGCTATAAGGAGAGGATCTAGAGGGGAATCAGCAAGAGCGATGCCGGAGACAGTGGAAAGTGAAGGTGCGGCTTGTTCACATGGTTATCGGACACGAGAGATGAAGTCTCAAGGTGGAAGAATGAGGAGCCACCAGGCACCCAACCCTTTTCATAGTTCTGTTCCTGCCAGTTAAGTAATATTTCCTGCTAAGACACAGGACGGGCTGAGGGGGGGTGGCGGTGGGAGGAGGTGAACGACAGTGGAAGGAAACCTCGGGGAAATGTCCTGGCTTCATCCTCATTTCTGCAGGAGAAACACTCAAATAGCAAGTGACAAAATAATCACTAAAGACTATTCATTCAACGTCAATGGCAACCCAGGGCACCTCTATTTCCCGTGTGATCTGGTTACGTGGTTCAACCTGAACTGTCTGAGGTGAGGTCAAGGGTTCCTAAACTGGGGTCCGTGGGTAGAATTGGAAGGGAGCTGTAAGCTGGGATAGGAAAAACAAAACCCTCACGTCTCTATTTCCACTAGCCTCTACTTAACTTTGATTCTGTTATGAAAGTAGACAGTGGACCTCTGTCAGTGCCTGTAACTGTCACCAAAGAAATCAACATTTTCACTTAACATTCAGTTGTTGTCAATATCTGGCAATACTGTGTCTGCCCATCACAACTTTGAAATTGTGGTGGTTATCAGACCCTCCACCAGATGACATCAGTTAATGGGCGTAATAAAGCAGCATATGTTACCACATCGCAGATTCACTTTCTTAATATTTGGTATTTCAATCCAATTGGTCTCTTTTGTGATCTGATCTCTTTTATGTTATGCATTTAAAACCACGCTGAGAAAAGGCCCATGGAGTTCACAGTCCATAGCACTGAAAAGGTTAAGAACCCCGATTTAGATCTCTAGCAGGTATTAATCACGCAGACAATCTTCCTTAGGTAGGTCAGAGAATAGATTTCTGCTGTTTAACAAGGATGAGTATATCATTAGAGCAATCACAGTGAGAGGAAAAAAAATTCCCCCAAATAACTTCTTGACGTTAAAGCCCAAATTCCAAGACACTTGGTCAATGAGAAGCAATCTTTTATTTTTTTTTAATTTAAAATGGACTGAACTCAGCTTGTGAAGCCTGAATTTTCAGAAGACCAGGCAAGACAGACCTGCCAACTTTGGGGTGACATGTGCTCCTCTCAACGAGCCCCTTCCGGCCTCACAGCAGCCTGAAGCACACTTATTTGGTCAAAGGAATGAATGTGCCTGGGGCAGAGGAAAGCTCCTCAAAGTCAGTTCATCCCTGTCTCCATGTCCCCATGTCGGCAGGGGACACTGTCTGCTTAGACGAGACAGTAGGTTCTTTCTCTGTTTTTTCAATCTCTATCTCTGGTTTGCTCTAAAGTAAAGATATAAGAGTCATTCAGCAAGCACTGGAGGAAAAAGCGCTGGATTTAACCAGAGAATGTAGATTTCAAGCTCGGGGGGGCCAGATGGCTTTTATTTGTAATATGGGGGCTCATTATAGCCCCTCTGCCTGTCTCTCAGGGACATTGTGACCATTACATGGAATAAGGTACTGCCTTTAAAAGATGTTTTAAAAACCCCAAAATCCTATACAAATATCAGGCCCTACCTACCTACCCATGGAAGGATAGTGAACACACCATTAGCAGTGAAGGCCAAGTAGCTTTGCATGGACAGTAATGCTGAGGAGTGGTTTTCCAGCACCATCAGTTGGGGGAGTCATTTGGGAGGAAGCCTTACAGGAACAGGGATTCCTTGGGTACCAACCTGTGACAACTGCTCCCAGGTGAAAGGAAATGTCAACACTCGAGGAACAAGAGTGCCTTCGAAACTCTCCCTAGAGATAAAGGTCCAAGCAAACCTGGGCACACCTCTCTCTCTCAAATCCTTTTTGTTTTGTTTTGTTTGGGTACAGATGCAAAATGGAAGAGGCTTTAGGGAGTGCACCATTCCTGCAAGTGGAGGGCCCTACCTGCCTCCCAGGTCAGGGACATGCTGGCCTTAGCGTGAAAACGGGCTGCAACTGAGGAGGGCGGTTGTCACTGTTTCAAAGATCTTTCCAAGTGAGAAAGATTCACCCTTTGATCGGTAAGCAGGCCTGATGCTTTACCTATCAAGAGGCTGCCGAGGTCCGTTGTTGCCTCATTTCATGCCTTAAATGCCATTTAATTTTCAATAAAGGACAATAACACATGGTTCTTAGGCCGTCTCTCGGCCATAATCATGAAGAGTTCATTTTGTGTGGTAAATGTGGTGACCGGAGGAAAGAAATGTAGCACTCCGTTGTAAGAAAATATACTAATTAACAAGACGAAGAGGTTACACTCCTTGTACACTGAGTTCTTTGTTTAAAACAAAGTTTCTCATTAGTCTACTGTGTTATCATTTTTGTGCATTTATTCTTTCACTCATTATTTTTTGGCTCAATAGTGGGCTATCTTTCAGTTTTTAAAGATTATCATATTTTCCTGATTCAATGATTCCCTTTACCTTTCTTTTTTCACATTTTAACTTTAGTAAAGTGAGGATGCATGTTTAATAAATATTGCGTTTAATGTGCATTAATTCCTAAAAAAGATATTTAGTAAACCAATGGTCTTACAATGTATACTGCTTTAAAATCAAGGAGTATTATGAATCTGATAAGCAGTCACAAATAACATAGCATATATCAACTAGGGCAATGAGAAGCTTTTATTTGTCCTTCTCCATGTGTTGGAGCCTGCATAGCAAATTAATGGTTTAGGAAAATAATCGGCGCTGTTGATTGTTGACTGTATTAGTTATCTATTACTGCTGAACAAATTATCCCAAAAGTTAGCAGCTTAAAACTGCAAACATTTATTATCCCACATAGTATCTTATGGTCAGAAACCTGGGATTGGCTTAGCTGGGTGGTTCTGTCTCAAGATCTCTCGTGAAGTTACACTCAAGCTGTGACGTGGGGCTGCATTCATCTGAAGCTTGACTGGGGCTGGAGGATTGGCTTCCTAACTCAATGCATGGTTGACAAGTGGCCTCAGGTCCTCACCACGTGGGCCTCCCTATAGGGCTGCTCATGACACGGGAGCTGGCTTCCCAGAGTGAGTGATGAGTGAGAGAGAGACTGAGATGGAAGCTCAGAAGTGACACACCATCACCTTTGCCTGGTGTACTCAAGATGACTATGGTAGCTCCAGGCACGTGTGACACACACAGTGAGAACCAGGCTAATACACTAAGGACAATGGGAGAGACAATGAAGATCAGGAGGCGCCCAGACAACATTGTTGAACCTCTGAATCAACTAACCATGAACTGCCTTACCTCCAATATCCTGTCATGTGTGATACGTGTCCTACTGTTTAAGCCACTTAAAAGACCTTTGACATTGATATCACATCAATGTCACCTTCAAGAGACATCTAATTATATAAAGAATTGTCTCCAAAATTCCCAAAGCAAAGGAAAACAATTTTAATGTCATTTAGATAGATAGATAGATAGATAGATGGATGGATGGATCCACAGAACACAATGAGGGCAACTGAAAAAAAAAACATGAAGTTAAACAAATAACTACACATATCAAAAGTAAAAGGTCAGGAAGCTTGTAGACTCAAAGGGAGTTGCCTAGCAAACAAGGCAGTACCATGAAATAATATAATCCATTTTCCACTTTATAACCAGTGAAGATAGAGTATTCTAAATTTAGAGAATTAATGTCAAGGTTGCAGGCACTTAGAATATCCATTTATTTATTCATTTGAGAAATGATAATGTGCTCCAGGCCAGATCCCATGAGAGGTTTGGAGAACAAAGAGGTGAGCAAAATCAGCAGGCTTGTCCTTAGGGAGCTCATTGTCTACTAAAGAGAGGGAATGCTGTCAATGCTACAAACGAGCCGTACGTTTACGGTTACCAAGTAAGTAGCAGAAATGTGGAGGTTGTCACCCTCTCTCATGGGGACAGGAGGAGGCAGAATATGAGAAGCTTGCCGAGGAGAGAACACTAGCTGTGGCTTGGTAGGTAGGGCGGATGAGGCATGGAAGGTTTTGTGGCATCTCAGTCAGAGGAAGCACAGGGGTATGAGAGAGAATGAAACCTTAGGGACCTACAAAAGAGTGACCACTGAGACTCATGGCCCGGAATGGAAGGTAGGGGGCTAGCAGTTCAAGACAGGAAGTGACTGAAGCAATAGGCAGGGGCCAGGTATGGAAAGAAGGCAGGAAGGAAGGAGGGAAGGAAGGAGGGAAGGAGAGAAGGGAGGAAGGAGCTACATGTAAAAAACTAGGAAAGGAAGGCAGGAGGCACGAGTCTTTGCAGCCACATCCCTTCTTTGTGCCTCGGTCTCCTTGTATGGAAAGGAGATGGCTGGTGATGAGGAGAACAGGTATCGGAGACATCTAAGGCATCGACAGCAGAGGCCACGCCCTCAGACGGTAGCTGGACCCTTGGCAGGGTCAAGGAGAAGGGCAAGGAAAGACTTTCAATTAGTTAAGACTCGTCTTAACAACTCCTGCCCTGTGCTACACGTCATCCTGTTTTACACATTCGTCTGAGTCCTTGAACTTGAAGGAGGGAGGAGGAAGGCCAAAAGGAATGGGCATAATTTTCCAGCTTCCACACAATTCACTCTCTTATGGCCTATTTTCTCAGGAATACTAGTTCATGAAACTCAAATCCAAATTGGCAAAGTGACAAATGTTTTGCATAGATGAAATTGTTCTCTCCATCAAACACTTAGCACGTTTCTCAACATCTGGAAGGGCCTGAAGGGGGTCTTTTTTCCACTGCAATTGAATATGCATTTTATTAACATCAGTATATCACTGCTCTCTTACGTCCTTGACTGTGGTGCCTTAAAATACAAATGAATAGGCCTACTTTCCAAAAGTTGTTCTTTCAGGGAGAAAAGGAATGAGTAATCAATAGACCCCAGAAGACCTAAAATTCTATAGCAGGAGTCGACGAGCTTTTTCTATAAAGGACCAGAGAGTTAATATTTCAGGCTTTGTGGGCCATTTGGTCCCTGTGGCAACTACCCAACTCCGCCATCAAGGTGTGAAAGCAGCCGGAGGTGAAACCTACCCAGAGGAGCAGGCTGCGTTCCAACAACTTTATTTACAAGAACAGGTGGCAGGCTCCTATCAAATTCTGCTACTATTATTTCAAATGACTTTTAGACCATTGGTACAACAGCTTTGGCAAAGCTTTAAAAAAAAAAAAACAAACCCCTTGTGACAAAGTGTGTCTTTGTCTGGCCTGTTCGGGAGACCAGAGACTATGGGCTCTCGCACTGGCCAATATCCAGGGAAAACAAGAGAAGGGAGAGCGAACCTGGAAGCCCAAGACTTCCGGGGGGAACATTCTTGGTCATTTCTGTCACTGCACTTACCTTCTGCCATGGCCTTGATGTCCTCAAGCACAGGGACCACTTTAGGCTTTAGCTGTTCATGAATTCCGCTTCCTAGCAATGATTTAATATCTAAATTCAAAGAAGCACAAGGACCTGTGAGGGTGGGCTCCTCTTATTTCTTCCCCTCTGACCATTCACTCTCCTCGCAAGGCCAGATTTCCTTGCCCGGAAAATCATCTTTAGTCTCTCCCGCCGTGAAATCCCATTTTTCATTCTAGACCCTTGTTGACTCTTATGTGGAGATTTCTTCACTCTCTTCAAAGTCTCCTCAGCAGCCGTGCCCCAGGGAGAAATTGCTCACCACAGACTCAGTATTTCCTTGTACTAGGAACACCGTGTTCACTGCCTTGAGCCATGATCGCCGTGGCCCTCATCTCGGTAACTAGACCAGGGCTTCTCAACTGGGGCACTAGCGACATCTTGGGACAGAAAATTCTTTGTTGAACGGGCTGTCCTGCGCATTGTAGGATTTTCAGCTGCATCCCTGGCCTTGACCAACAGATGCCAGTAGCTAGCATTGCTCCCCTATCCTCACTCCCTTGGGACAACAAAAACTGTCTCCAGATGTTGCCAAATGTCGCCTTGAGGGCAAAACAGCCCCTGGTTGGGAACCACTATGTGTGAAGCTGTGTTGAGTTCCCTGTGGGCCTGCAGGGACCAGCACTGCCCACCCCTCTATTTCTGAAGCCCACTGGATTCGCGGGGGGACCCATTTCTGTCTTTAACAGCGGACCTGACAGAGACCCATTTCCTCTCCTATGTGGGGAACGAAGAAGAAGCCATTGTGACAGCAAGAGAGCAAAAGCATTCTTACAACGAATGCCGGGTTTTCATCACTGAGTAACAAACCACAAATGTCAGTAACTCTAGGGAATTACTTTTCTGTTTTCCCCCTACTTTCATGCAGAAACTTGTAGAAACAGCATGCTTCATTTCTCAGTCTGTGTTTTACGGGAGAGGGCCACTGCATCTTCTAGCCAAAACAAACAGACAGAAAACGTCGAGGCAACTTTAAATTTTACTCACTGTCCAGATCTGAGAATGCCCTTTCCTTGGTGGTGGTATACTGGCCCAGTATATAGTCGATTTGCTAAAAATAAATAAATAAATAGAAAATAAATTACACAAAACCTCCTCTTCTAAGGTCCAAAGCCACAATAAAGAGATTTAACATACAAAAATTATCCTGAATCAGAACTTTTTAGAAGAAGGCAGGATCTTAGAGATATTTATATTTTCTAACACCCAGACTTCTTAATAACACTCCAAAGCATACTGGCTTAAGGAACATGATTTCTCATGACTCTGTGGATTGGCTATGTGCATCTTCTCTTTGGGCCAACTTGGCTGGGGGCAAATGGATCCCTCTCTCTATGTGGCCTCTCCTCTTCCAAGAGGCCAGCCTGGGTGGTCCAGCATGGTGGTCCCAGCAGCAAGAGAACAAGAGCGGATGCTGCAAGGCCTCTGGCAGCCTCAGCTCAGAACTAGCAGCAGGTCAAGTCCGCTGTATTCTTTTGGGCAAAGCAAGTCACAGGGACAGCCCAGATTTGAACGGTTGGGAACAGATTCCCCTCTTGAAGGGAGGAACTACAAAGAATTTGAGGCCATTTGTAATTGACCGCACTAGGACCATTTCATTAAGCGGCTGTTCCTGAACCGGCCTCCAGAGGGGCCGCGTCCCCCTCCCCCTGCTGTGTCTCAGTGGAACCGCTTCCCCTCACCCTCGGCAACACTGGCGCTATCACTTTCAACAACTGTTGCCTATCTTCTCCGTGAAAATGTGCATCGCTATCTAATTTTTTCATTTCTCTAATTACCAGAGTAAGGTTAAATTTCTTATTATGTTTGAGGCCAGTTATACCTTCCTCTATAAATTGATTATTCATATTCTCTGCCTAGTTTTTATAGATTTGTTAAGAACTCTTCACATCTTTTGAACTACATGAGTTTCCCCAAAAGTCATAACAATTTACAACTTTAAGAAAGCAACCCCACAGTTCACCAGCCGTGGCTGCTAAGTATTTAATTTTGCCAACATTTTAGGAAAAAGGTTTCACTTTGCAGTCTTTGGAATGACAGGTAAAAAATATTATGAATTTTTTTCGTAGATTGAGAAAATGATACATTTCCCTTTCTGTACAGGCTATAAAACTACGGATAAAATTAGCTTCTCTAATCTCGATATTAAAAAATGCCTACATTCTTTGCTTTTTTAGATCCAACCACATTTTAAAAAACTAGTACAAGGTTTAATGTGTTAGTATTTTTTAGAATATAATAAACTGGGATGAACACATCCCTGTATGAGGAGGCCCATGGATTCTGGAGGGCTCTTATTAGTGAATCCAAAAGAAAGGCATCCTTCTCCCCCTGGTGGTACCCATGAGCTCAGCAACATATGTTTCTGCTGGTTTCTCCTGAGACATTTTTAAAAACAATGTTTTGAATAGGCAAGACATCAACATGCTTCTGGGGTACAGAAAAAACGTGCCCTCAGGCCACGCAGGTCCCCCTCCCCAAAGACAACTTCTGTGTGTACGTGTGTGTGTGCACGCATGTGTGTGTACCCTTCCCAAGGGATTTCACACATTTATATGGATATTAGCAAATAGATGTTTAGAAAGCGGAAAAGTTTCATTACAAAGGCAATTTCGTGTAAACGATGGGGAGTTAATTAGACTGCCAAAAAGAAAGGATAACGACACCCAAAGATTTTTCTTTTTAAAAAAATCATGAGACCCTTAAAATGGTTAAGCACTTTCCTAACATGTACTATAATTTTGCTATACCTTTAAATAAAATAAAATAAAAACAGCAGTTCTGAAATTATGCTTTTGTACTCTTTTGGAAATCACTTGCTGGGCCTTTATTTCTTCATCTACAAAACTGAAAAACAACACCTGTCTACATTGATTCACTGGGTTTCTAGAAAGTCCAAAGGAGATGCCGAATCTATGCAGGAACTCCAAAAGGCCCCAAACACAAAGCATCACGGCATGTACAGATTGTGGTTTTTACCGCTGGAGTCCCATGCAGGAGGGTTCTCAAGTCTTTGAAGTTGCTGTCTGTCAGGTTCCGAGTCCTTTCCATCCGGGTCTTTAGGTGGTGATTTGCCACAAAACCATAGACGATACCAATGCTGCAGGAAAAGGAAAGAAGAAAGAGCATTTACTGTGTGATCCGTGCTCACCTGGCCAGGTGCAGAGCAGCACGGCACGTGGGAGGGGGCGGGTCTTCTGCGCAGAACCCCAAAGAACAGGACCTTGCTCCCCGACTCTGGCCTCTCCCACTGCTGTAGCCTTCCCGCCAAGATCCCATAATCCACCCACCACCAAAACATGGGCCACGAAACAGGAGTCAGTCCTCTCAGAGAAGACGCCTATCAATTTAAGATCCATTCTTCTGTTAAACAGGAATCTTATAAATGGAACAATGCTCGTGATGAATCGTGGGGGAGATAGAAGTTATCAAGGTCATAAAGCAGTGTATGTAATACAGTCCCATTTCTGTACAGATGCGGATGTAGGTACACACCCTCCCACACGGTGCACACACAAACACAGCCCGCATGCATTCCCCACAGAGAAGACTATCAGGAAATACACCAAAGTGAACAGAGTGGTTTGGGCTTTCTATCCTTTTTGGTTTCTCTGTCTTTGTTAGTTTTGCATTGTCAAGGTTGAAAAGAAACATGAGTTACTTCAGCATTAAAATGCTATATGAGAAGCCACAAACAATAGCACACATGCTGTATCATATCATCTTATATAAAGTTCAAATATCAAGCAAAATGATGGTGCTAAAAGTCAGTGGTTATATTTGCGGAGGGGTGGCTAATGATGTAATTGGTGTGTTCGCTTCATGGAAACTCATGCATCTGTACTTATGGTATGGACACTTTTCTCCATGTAAAATATACTTCAGCAGAGCTTCAAAAACACTGCAGAAAGACTCTACATGAAAATAAAAAACATATTTTTCAAGACACCTAAAATGTCTACATTCAATCATTTTAAGGGTTCTTAACGTTGACTAGTTACTAACAATCCCCCACTTAAATTAGTTGATCTATTGGTTTGCTTTTGCGTCAGTCTTTGAAGATTACAATGTTACATTTAAAATTGCTAATTGCCAAGGCTCTGTTAGATTTGGCCACTAGATGGCAGCAAAGAATTACATAAACTCATAACACAACCACCATTTTACCTGTAGAAGTTAACAAAATTGATAGTTTGCAATAAATTGTTAGTTTGCAACCATCCAGTGGATGGTGTGTATATATTTCTAGAACAAAGTTTTGCAAATAACAGGCAAAATTTGGGGAAAAAATTCTGATGCAGAATATCAATACTTTGATTCTTCACCAAAAGCAATGTCTTAAGCTTTAGGCATTCATATATTTACAGGTAGAGCAGCCGAGTGTCTATTTGTGCATCGAAGGTCCCATGTTCCCAGAAAACCTCTTAGTTTTGCATAAAATGGGACATTCACCCTGTTTACATTCATGATTCATTCCAAGGAGCATTGGTTCATTGCTGGTCCCACCTGAAACCTATTGTCCCACAGCAGTACTACACAGGTGCATTAGGTTTTCCAAACTAATCCATGAAAAAGTCTATCGCATGATGTTGAGCAATATTTCCTATGGTTGACAAGTTGCAGTGGGATGTGGACCGGAGAAGGAACATAAGACTCAGGTTCTAGTCCCAGTACTGCCACTAAATCACTGTGTGAGCTTGAGAAAGTCACTTTTCTTCTGTGAGCTTCAGTGAATCACAAAACTAAAAATTAGTTTCTCAGGCTGCAAAGGAGAAGGGTACTGAATGGTCACACGTTCTCTAAGACTTTTTTGTAAGTTTGGGGGCATGCTGATAGCAATTTTAAAAAAATGAGTATTAACAATATTCTGTGCCATTTGGAATGACCACTTTATAATCCATTTTTGTCAGCATTGGTATTTATGAGGCAGACATTATGTCACAGCACTAACAGTTATTAAATGATGCACTCATGCCAAATAAGACCAAACGACCCAAAATAATGACTTCGGAGTAGTGTGAACAGAAGAAAAAAAAAAAGTTGAGTCATGGCAAAGCCCCTGGAGGTTTACTTACTGTGCCGAATTCCAACCATTCTATGCCATGATCACCACCTGAATACACCTGCCCGCCACAGGATTTCACACTGAGGCCCTTGTCGTCTCTCCCCAGCATGTCTAAATTATTTGTCATTCATAAGCTCCAGACCCATTTTGTCATTTAAGAAGTCAAAGTGACCTTGGGAAACAAACAGCAAGCTCAAGTCCACTTGGCTTTCACTGACCCCCCCTGGATGGGAGAAGAAACTCCTTGCATGAAATCCCAGAAAGATCTCCCTGAAATTCTGAGGGAGAATTTGTCACTGGTACTCCATTTTGTCTTTATTTCTACTTATGTTTAACTTGTGTAAAAAGAGGTGGAAACTGCTTTTTTGTCATCTTTGCAGAATGCAGGGTCTCTCGTCCACAGTGGGTGCTCAGTGAAGGTGGGTTGGAGGCCTGGGCTTGTTTGATTGGGTCCATTTAGAAGATTAGTCACATGGTTCGAGTGTCTAAGTCAGAAACCGCATTGTTCCTTTATTGAATAAACGCCTTCACTCACAAAGATCATCCATCAGAAAGACGAATTGCAACACAATGTTGTAATACACTGAACTTCAATGCAATGCATTTAAAAAGCCCCACATTTCTACTAATAAATTATGGATCCAATTAAAATGAAAGCATTGATCATTTTTTTAAAAAACTGCACTCAACAGAATTCTGGAATAGAATTCAGCAACCGTCAAAGTTGATTTTCAGACTCAAAATACATTGCAAATTTTATATTTAAATTAAGGATGGCAAATTCAAATACCTACATGGGCAGGCAGGAAGCATGAAGGGCAAAGTGTGTGGCATGGAGCTACGGGATCGGGGAGCAAAGATGGGAGTGGGGGCAGCTGCTCTGTGGTACCAGCAAGTGCCACCATGATGGTAGACCTGGAAATCTGGATTCTTATGTAAAATCTCCCATTTTTAAATATTAGCAACTAATCAAAGGGAAAAAAACTTTAAATATTATGCAAACCAATTAATGGTCTCCATTTTCAATCTCTAATTTACACACAAATAGAGAATAAAGAAATTATGCTTTTGTTGCTATTGATTTAGACATTCCTTATTATTCAAAGCATTTTTTAAGCAAAAAAATCACATGAATTAATGTTTTTGCTTTTTTTAACAACTACCAGTCACCTGTTAACTATTAGGATTTGAGAATACTGAGGGAAATTCACTCGTCACAAAAAAGGAATAAAATTTCAATGACTATCAGGTCTCTGGCATTTGACATAAAAGCCTTTAAACTATCAAAAACATGTACTTGTATGCAGTATAATAAAATTTCTTGAAATTTTTGGCAGAAGATAGGAATTTTAATTATTATGGCATATTGGCATTACATCTATATTTCATCATGGACAGACCTATTTTCTCACATACATACTTTAAAAAGTAAATACTTAAAGCTTTTAAAGATTAAGGCTAAACTTTTAAAATTTGTAGCAATTTTTTTCTATCAATTCCTATTGATTTAACGAAATTAGCCATTAAAAGTTAAGCCAATAAATGCTTTCAGTCTGTAACCGATCTCTTAATTTTTTTAAGATAGTTTTCTAAATTTAAATTTAGATTTTAAATAACTAGCCCTTTCACTTACATTAGGAAAGTCTCATGATTTTCAGGCTTGCTAGCTCAATTTTTTTTCTAAAACCTTGTGGCCTCCAAGCCAGGAATTGACAATCATATTCTAACAAAAAATGAACTTTGAAAATAGCCATCTTCCTGAAGATGCCTGAGATTTAATTTCCACCACGGTAATTGGCAAAAGCTGACTTATACTTGGGAAACTTAGAAATACACTGGAGGAAAAAAGGCACGGCTGCTCCTTTTTTTGTTGTTTATAAGCATTTTGAAATTCTGAAAAATGCAGCGATGACAAGTGCAAAGGAAAGAAGGGAGAGGAAACTTGGCTTTTTCGAGAGTCAGGCACATCTGCTTCAAGAGTCTCCGGTGAGCGGTGGAAATTCCATCTTCTGCAGACGGTCAAAGGGCCTTACATAAACACACGTCAGTGTCTGTGGAATTCCAACATTCTGCAGGCGCCTTCGGAAAAGCTCAGAGAAAGAACATGACCACATCTATTCCACATATATATACCAGGGCTCTTTCTCCTTGATCCCTATGCCTTTCTCAAAAGAAATAACACTAAAAGAGGATGGAGGAAAAATTAGAGTACTCAAGACCAACTTAAAAACCAACTTCATTTTTAATTCTAACACTTAGTATAGAGTCACAAAATGGAACTGAGCCTGATAAAAGGCAAACGGAATACTCTGGGTTTCTGAAAGAGTGTTTCAAAAATCATATACAAAGGTTATTTATCAATAGTATCCAAATCTGCTGAGGTCAATGTAAGCCAGGGGCTAACACCTGCTTTTCTTTCTCTTTCTGTCTTCTAGTTTGTTGACATTCTTCCCCTTCCTATTTTATCTAATCTTCTTATTTTGTGAACATACTTTCTTCTCCTCTCCCTCTAACCATAACATAGAAATCTTTGCTTTGCCTTGATCTGTAATCTTCTTGGCTAGTTTTGATTATTTGCAAACAACACATAGCTATTATTCAACTCACAATGTTGAAGAAATTTGCAAACAAACAGGGGTTCCAAAAGGAAGACATCAAAATAGCTATTCTAAATAAAAGAAATTCAAGGTAAAGAAGTTTAAACTTTTAGTCTGAATTTAAACAAAACAATCTCAACTACTGCTCTTATTTACACCTATTTATAATTCACATATAAATTCAATCTATTATGTGAAATAAATTAGTTTTCAGTTCGTCATTTAGTCTCAAATAGGCGATCAATTTTGATTTAGTTATATTGGAATTTAAAATTGTGACTTTCAAATGAATAAGTTTTACTTGGGTGGGGAAAAATATCTTACTGAAAGTGTAGGAGGTTATAGAATCACAGTATGTATTTTTTAAGAAAACTTTTCTAATCTAAAATATACTCAGGAGAAAAAACTTTTAAAGACATTTACGTTTGTTTGATGGGTCTATTCTAAAGAATAAAAAATGGTAACATTTATTTTATATATAAATGAAAACCAAGTTTATTGTTCACTTCATAGCTTTGTTGTTTATATGTTTTGGTATTTTAAACATAATGTAAAGAATTCAATCAGTTCAGGGTGAACTATAATGTATACAGTATTATATACATTTATATAATGTACATATGTATATAATTATATGTAATGAAAATGAAAGTCTAATTTAAAAATAGAAACCCAATACAGGATATCTGCGTCATTAAAAAAAAAAAAACAAAAAACCTGAAAGCCCATTATTACATATGTAAACATCTATTCAGGTAAATGAGTAACTACATGCAATAAAGAATTTTCCTGAAATTACAACATATGTATTTACATCAAGTGAAAACTATTAACTTGTTAAGTAAGCAATCACCCTAACAAGAAGCCCTAAGGGCCAGTATTTTCAAATGACATTTTGTCATCTGAGCCTCATCTTTGATGTCCAGGACATAGAGAGAGAGAAGGACAGCCGTCCAGGTCTTTGGATGAACAAAGGACGTAAGCTTCAGGCTTACAGGAAATGCACAAGGGTCTGACAGGTCTTTGGGCTGTAACTGACATTTTTCTGGTATTGAGGAAGAAAGGAACTACTCCCACAGCTGTAGGGTCTGTCCATTCCTGAAAATACTTGAAACGCAAAGCAGAGAGACAGGGACATCTGGAATCACCATTGACCCGATCCCAAGCTGCTTTTCAGAATTCAAGCTGAAGAAACAGTCAGATTCAAATATTTACAGAGATACAGTGACAGAGGCAGAGGCGGACGAGGCAACAGAGACGAGAGAGAGATGCCCACAGCCTCGTCTCGCAGAGAAAACACAAAAAACTCCCTGGCGGTCAAACAAGGGTGCGTAGAATTAGCTATGACATTCACTTGGATCCTGTTTACAAGTATATTTTTAAGGTTTATTACTTCACTATTTTCAGCAAACATGTGTCTTTATTTTAAAAAATGGCTGCCCTGGAAGAAGCTGTATTGCATTGGCTTTTGTCTTTTATGGGATTTTTTGGGTGTTCAAGCTTAATTTTTAGTGTAATTAACTCAGTAGGCAATGCCTGAACAGTGTAGATAATTCGAGAGACAAGAAGTCTATCAGCAGTAAGAAGTGAGTTCCCTTCTTGCCCCTTCATAACCGTCACCAGAGGCAACCGCTGTCACCCACCGGAGTCCTGCCAATCCTTTCACACGCGTTCTATGCAAATATAACAAAGCGTTTGTGTCTCCCTCCGTTTTCGTTTTTATCATAGGTGCCATGTTCTACACACGGGCTGCAGCCCGCTGCTCTCACTTCCTCTCGCTTGCGGACTGTTCCTATCAGCGCGTCCACAGTTGTCCAGTCCTTTCCAACGAGTACACTGTATTCAGTCGACCCCAAGGCATGTCTTCCCGGGTCCCTACTGATGGCCACACTTACAGATATTTCTTTCTTGGGTTTGCAGCTAGAACTCCAGCTGGTAGGCCAGCTTAAGTTGTTCTGTTTAATTTTGTTTAATTTCTGTTTTCTGCTTAAATTCTCGAATCTCAGTTATTTAGCAAACCACTTGAAAAATCTTTCTCATGGCTACAGAGCAAATGCAGTGCCTGGAGGAACATCAAGGGGGAATGTTGACTACCAATCCTTCTCCTTGAGGCCTAGTATCATTCATGCCATAGGCACCTTATTTCTGTCGCTAAGTGATACGACATTCATGGCTTGAATAAATGAGGAAATGTGGAACGATGACCAAATACCACAACCAGGGGGCCAGTATTGTGAAGCACATTCCTGAACTGAAGAATCTGATTTGGATTCAACCAAAAGTCATCATCTTTAAAGCAGTGTACTTCTGATCTGTCAATCAATTGGGAAAATTTGGGCAATAGCAGGAACTACAGAAAAAAATATCCTAAATCACGAGGTGTGTTCCAGGCCTCAAGAAGGCGTAGCAGCTTAACTGCGAATTCAAGCAAACTGGGCATATCAGTAGAAAGTTAATTCGACTCTACAATACTCTCAAATTCCCAAATTCAGGGACCCATCCTTCAAGATACCCTTTGCACATACAAATCAACTAGCAAATACTTGCTCTGCCTTCTCGCAGGCTGCCTGTCTCCAAACAGCTATTTAACAGGAAGGAGGTGCTGTTCTGGGAGGTAAATGCTTTCTGCAGTGCAAGGTTTATCAGGGCATCTTCAAGATGAAAAAATACCAAGGGTTGGCTTATCATCTGAGTTAGGGCAGCGTGATTACAACACTAACTTCTGGTTACGATGACATCTTTTTGAACGGTCCTAGAGAAGCATTTTTTCCTCTTCTGTTTTTGGGGTTGCTGTTGTTTTGTATTAAACTCTTGGGCTTAACACTCAAAACATGAGACATTCCTCATTGACCTAAAACATAATCAGCTGTTGTCCAAGATTCTACTTGCCTTATAAGTATACAAATCACCAAGAGGGAAACTGCAAAATATTTCCTCAGGCAGGTCCCGTTTTTCTTCTGTCGCTGGTGCATTTCTCCACCACACTTGTTACAGCAACGACACAAACCAAAGCAAAACCCCACCAGAGGCATCAGAATAATGAAGAGCAGTCCCAGGACAGCACAAATAATAATCCCGATTTCATAGGAGATAATCTGCAAGTCAAACAAGAGAAACAGCACAGACTGTAACACCAAATAACAAGTAGAACATTCCACAGTGCACACATTGCAATTTTTTAACCTATGTGCCACCAAGAGTTGAATTTTAATGTGTGGGGGGGGGGCGGGGGAGGGTGTGGGTGGGTGGGTGGGTGTATTTCCATTTTGAAGTTCCTTCTTGAAACAGAGGAAATAGAGATTTGAGTTATCAGAATACGGGACCAAGTAGTTACCATCTTCTTTCAATTCCAAAGTGTTGGGGATCATAATTAGCCACTCCAAAACGTGTCTCTTTGCCTTGATTATTTTTAAGAACAAAAGACTCTGAAAGAAGCTTTGACTCTCTCCCAACCACGTAAAAGAATTTAAGATAGGAGACCTGTTCCAAGAAGGCACTAATACCAAAAGATAACTGCAGTGTCATGTAAAATGGGTCCCATTGTCTACCGAAGGGCTGGTAAACACTTATTTAGCAAACATTTGCTTTTCCATCTCTATGTGAATTGCCTTCCTCCCCTTTGAAGCCCCAAACCACTAACCCCAACATTCTCCCTTGTTTTTGGCTGGAGATGGTATTTAAGGTGGCAGGATTTGGCCACTCTGGTGAGTTACTCCGTTTTCCTGGGTTTCTTGCATGTACACATGTTATAAAATTTGTTTGATTTTCTCCTGCTATTCTGTCTCATGTCACTTAAATTCTTAGAGCAGCCAGAAGGAGCTAGAGGGTAGAGGAATTGTCTTCCTCTCCTACAAAGGAAAACGTCCAAATGGAGGCTCAAGTGGCAAATGGTTTAATTTCAACTCCAAAGGTATTTCGTTTATTTTTAAATGGCAGGACAAATTTTGGCAGAAGTATTTGCATAACAAATAATCTACTTATAAGATGCTTTTCACCAGAAAGATAGGACCAGTAGACACTGTTAAGGATTTGAAGCAGTTTGAATTGCATCAATTAATGACAAATTCACAGTAAGTTACAAAAGAATCCAGGATATATCCAAATGTAGAAAAAAGGCTCAGACTTTCTGAGTCAGACATGGCTACCCACTTGGCTTCCTCACCCATATACTGGGAACAACAATACCCACCTTGTAAGGTCATTGTGAAAATTACAGAAAATGAACGATTAGTGATAACGTGCCAAGTAAAATAGTTGACACAGAGTAGATGCTTAGTAAGTGACACCTCTCAGGCCATGCCCGTGAGGCTGGGCCTGGCAGCCCGTGTCTCAGACACCCCCCAGGTTTCTAGAAACTAGCAGGACTTCTAGATACAATCACATGACCTAACCATATTTATATAATCACTGCTGGTTTTATTCCGGAATAAATAAAAATTAATGCAACTGGATGAGAAAACTTGAGCTCGTTCCAGTTCGTGTGTGCAGTTACTCACGTTTCCATAAAGCAAGACGTTTTTACAGAATGGCAGAGAATTACAGGTGGTAGTTTGCAACTAACAGATCAGCTATTTAGCAATAGATTCTGAAGCCAAGCTCAGCCAAGTAAAACAAAACACAAGTGATTTTCCTAGGAGCAAACGTGGTGTCTTGGGAGAGAGCCCTGAACTAGGAATCAGAAGAGCTGCTGTAAATCCCAGCAGGGAGCTTCTCGGTGCCGACACTGGAGAATGTTAGATTAGCATCAGCCTCATAAGTACATTATAAGGGATATATCATTAAATGATTTAATGTGAAAATCACTAGCCAAGTGCCCAGCACACTGCAAATATTCATTCAATATGAGTTTATTCTATGAGCAAATGCTCAAGAGTCTTAAGGCAGGTCCACATGGCACTTCAATATTATCTACCGCAATATTAAGGTTAAAAAGCTAAAGAAAAAAGTGGTTGAATTTTGCTGCATTCAAAGGGCATGCTCCCATGTAAACAAAGCCTCCCAACCCCCAGGGCCAAGAATCATCATTTGCTGGCACTTTTAACACTCTGTTGAGTTCTCACATCATTGGCCAGTTGAAAAACCAGACCCAGACACTCCAAACTCATATATATTTTACTCTCATTTCTCAGAAAATGTTCTAAATTATTTACTATTTTTAAAGGAATTTAAAATCCTTTCTGAATTCCGGAACAGAAACCCAGCAAAGAAGGTGTACTGAAATGTTTTAATTGTAATATCTTTAGCTCCCAATACAAATTTTATATACAACCTTTCCAATGTTACCGACTAAATATTATGTTAGACAGTATCAGGAACAAGATACGTCATTTCAAGAGTTTACTTCTAGGCTGAAGTCTAGCCAAGGTCTGGCAAGGACCTAAATTATTTTCTGAAAACACAAGGTCTCCACAGTGCTTTGTGGATTATGTTGAAGAGAAGATCAAGATTTAAATTTGCGGAGAAGGGTCGCTATTCTTCCACAAACTTCTAAAACTGTAAGAGAAGATTAAAGATGATGGCAGAAACAAAAATGAAACAAATAGTTTAAAAACCAACACAATGGAGACCACAGCGAAGAATAGAAAGTTCTGGCAAAAGCATCGCATTACTGCACTCACTGGGTTTAGACAGAGAACAACAGGAAACAGCAGACAAGCACTTTACCTTCAGAATCAAGATTACGCTTTCTGGCTGCGGAAGTCAAAGCAGTTGAGGAGGTTGTGTAAGGCAGAGGCAGCAGGCAGCAAGAAAACAGAGAAAGTTCCGTGAGTGATTAACCACAAGTGAGAGCATTAATATCCCACACAGAGATAATCAAGTGAGAGAAAGATCGACACCAGACAGGAACATAAAACTTAAGTGTTTATGAGAGAAACAGTGACTTTAAATGTCCTTAGGTGGCAAAATAAAGTGAAGTGGCTCCATGTCATTCCCCAGATTACCATTTTAGAATTGTCTGGTCCAGGAAATCCAAGTTTGGAAACCACTGCCTTAGATGGAAGATTTTCACAGATGTGAAAGATGAATGTTTGTGATATTAGTAACTTTTAAATGAGGCATCCAACATGTTGGGGTGGGCAGTTTAGACACACCTGCCTGCTGGGTCGCACGGGACATCCTGAATGACCCCAGCCTCCCTTCCTGGGAAAGGGCCCCAAACTCGCCAACCATAAGCGTCTCACAGTGCATGTTAAAGACAGTGACTTCAGGCTCCTCCATGGAGCCGGGGTCAGGAGATTTGGGTAAGACCAGGAATCTGTCTTTAAACTGAGCCCGGGCCATGCCTACGATTAGGTGCGTCTGGGAAACCTGCTCTTGGCTCCAAGGGCTGATCATGCTGGGCTGCAGCCAGGGCAGAACCACCTGTAAGCCACAGCCACAACAGTAGCTGATTCTTTTGTGACTAATTTTCCCACCCAAGTGTCAGCCCGGTCTGATATGGTGGGTAGGGTACCAGCAAACCCTTCAGTCGAGCTGGGTGCACGTTCATCTTTTCCCTGTCCATGCCAGTTGTCATATAGGTACAGGGTTATTATCTGTGCAATGCAGCAGTTTGAATCCTGGCTCTGTCACTGTCTGTGAGTCCCACTTCAATTAACTGCCCATTCCCATCACCTGGGGACCTTTTGAAAAATATCAATAACCAGCCAACCCTGACCACCTACATCAGAAACTCTGGGGGACAAGTCTAACATCGTTACAGTGTTACAAGCCCAAGCCTCAGTTCCCTTATCGACAGAGTGGGGATAAGCAGAGACCCTACCTTACGTGGTTACTGTGAAGACAACCTGAGAAAACAGTGAGAAGCAATGTGCTTTGTGCACTATTCTGTTCTAAGCACTTCACACGTATATTTAATGTATATTAAGTGCGTTAATACACGTGAAGTGCTTAGACCAGTGTCTGCCAGAGTAATGACAACAGTAACAAATAATCAAATGCATGCCAGCATTATTCTCACCCCTGAGCTCCAATGAGCTCAGACAAGGATCCAGGTCGGGGACTACCTTGCACTGCTCTCTGAATGCTTTCTGAGACCCCTAGAAGATACTTTTCTTACGTGGAAAGGAGAGTGTGTTCTTACGGCACGTCATCGCCCTCCCAGAGGGCAGGAAAACAAGGAGCTAATTCACTTACCTCTCGCAGACATGTAGAGTGGGTCCCAAACATCACAAACCTACCTGGAAGGATGACCTGACACTTACTCAGTGCCAAGTCGATATCCGATGACTATTAGCACTAGTGAGGTGGTGACAAGATCAGGAAAGGGTCCCGAACCCTGCACCTGCCCCTGCCCCCAGAGGAAGCTTCCAGAAAGGAAAGGTAATAAGTGAGGTATGAAATGGACGAGGAAGACACAAACCAGCTAAATCTAGATACAAATCAGCTAAATCTACAAACTATCTAAAACCAAGAGACTGGCGTGGAGATGAACCCTGACCTCACGGAAACTAACTCAGGAAGTCCTCACAAGGAAACTCACATTCCTCCCAACAGCCATGTGCAGAATGAAATAGAGGGCAGGTGGGGGGTGGGGGCAGGTCGCGGGGAGAACTGTCCCCTGAAAAGGTTTCTAGAGCTGTGGGTGGCCCTTACAGTTATCGGTGGGAGGTGATCGTGTCCTCTCCCTAAATTGCCCCAAATCATGCATTCTGGGAGGACAGGAATGGTGTCCTTTAATTTAATTGAGAAGCCACCACTTGACAAGCTGCTAGAGGCTCTCTGTGCAGAAACCCCGCGTGAGCCTGTGAGGGGGGTGATGCTATGCTGTTCTCCCTCATTTATAGTCAGCCAGCAGGTGCAGAATCCGAGGAGGGGCTCCCCCACACTCTCTGATCCCCAAAGGAATGGATTCAGGTGTTCTACAAGACCCGCTGTGCCGGGCATGGCGCGTTTTCGTATGTTGAGCACAGGCCTTGGCACATACTGGGCATGCTGAATGCCCCCTGAACTGAGTACAGAAAGGAGTTGCCCACGGAATCTCTACCTCGACGGCTCTGGTGAAGACAGACTATTCCTGAGAAGACTAAATGAGCTAATATCTTAAATCCTGGACAATAGGGCCTGCTACACAGCATGTGCTACAGAAACGCCAGGAAATAAGCATTCTTAGACTCATTTCTCAGCTTTCTATAGCTTCATCTGTCTGGTCCTCATTTTTCCTTATGGCTCTGTAATTCCAAATCTTCTTGCCCTCCTGGACTTCCTTTTCTGCCTGGCCACTTCTTCCCACAGATAATTACCCACTGTAACATTTTATGGCTTAAAGGTAAAAGGCACAGCTCTGGGGCTCTCACATTCTTTGCACACAGCTCAAGATACTCAGAGGAGAGCTGTTTCTTCCAAATTAGTCACCTCAGAACTACAGCACAGTGGCCTGGAAGGAGCCTAATTTTTGTTGGTGGTGTATTTGTTGGTTCAGAGTTAGACTGGTCTGGGTGCAAATCCCAGCTTTACCATTTAGTCGCTGAGTGATCTTGGGCGAGTTCCCTAGCCTCTCTGAGGGCAGGATTTCTGCATCCACCGCGCAGAAATAGACAGATGCCACTGTGAGGACTACAAATAATACAAAACTCCTAATCCAGAGCTTGGCACAGGTGGACAAGAAATGGTGGCTCTTGTTATTACAGGGAGGAAGATGACACAGTTTAAGAAGCAATGGAGAAGCTTCTTGCTTGGAGCCGACTGTTTGCCAATAGGCTTTATTTCTCTTGCTTCTAAGTCTCAGTTTAAATGCCAGCTCTCCCGTGGAGTCTTTCCCGATTTCTCAAGTGCAAGTACACTCTCCCTCGTCTGCACGTGCACATTCGTTTATCAGGACTTCTTATGTGACATACGTCCTTCGCCATCTTGAATCCATTAACTACTGCCTCAGTCTGCCTGGGCTGCCGTGACAAAGAACCACAGACTGGGGGGCTCAAACAACAGAAGCGTATTCCTCACAGTTCCGGAGGCTGGAAAGTCCAGGATCAACGTGTCGGCGGGATTGCTTTCTTCCAACGTCTCTCGCTCCGGCTTGCAGACGGCTGTCTTCTCCCTGCGTCTTCACATGGTTTTTTCTCTCTCTGTGTCTACGTCCTTATCTCCCCTTCTTATAAGGCCACCAGTCAGACTGGATTAAGACCCACCCTAATGACCCCATTTTAACTTAATTACCCCTTTGAAGACCCAAATAAAATCCCATTCTGAGTACTGGGATTAGGGCTTCAATCTATGAATTCCGGACACAATTCCGCTCATAACATCCAGGCCTGTGTCTTATCCCACCGCCTCCTTTTCACCAACTGTGAGTTCTTGAAGCGAGGGCTGTCTTTCACATGTGGGTACCCCTCTCATGCACTGCTCCCACTGAGTACGCTGTCAACATCAATTAAATAAATACATTAAACAAAAGGAGAAATTGTAAAAAAAAATGTCAGGGAGGAGAAGGGGCCCAAGGATCTTACAGTACGACTTTTCACTTTCAGCTAAAGTGCAGACAGGAGGCAGTTATGTGAAAAGGAGTCATAACTCCCTTGCAAAGTCAGGGTTATGCCTCGGAACAAAAGTTCTGCTCTGTTGAATGCCCTGAACCTCCTTATGAAGAAAGTTCAGGACAAGAACCCCCAACCAACTCAGCTGCCCAGGCTCCTGGCCATCTGAGGGCCACTAGAAGATGAAACACTGAACTCAGGACAGTGAGAGCTGCAAAGAGGCCAGTGCAGGGCCACTCCCTCACACGGACCTTGCCTGTGTGACTGCACTAATTGGAGAGCCAGTGGGCACTGGCCAGTAGAGAGGATGCTGTCGGTGCCCGCCCATGTCGCCCCAGCTTTAATCATCTTGGGGTGCCTCCTCAGACTTGTAACTTCCGGTATCTTTCACTCTGTGCTCAGAGGCATTTTCTGAATCCCAGGAAGGTGAGAAGTGCTTAGGGATTAACACCAACCCAACGAGGCCCTTAACCAGTGCCTCTTCAGTCTTGGTGTGTGGATTCAGCTCTCTCACCCTTCCCATGGGCTAATTCAGACGCTGGAGTCTCGCAGGGTTTCCCACAGCAGCTCTACAGGATGCTGCTCTAACCACTCCCTGTGGCAGGTGGAGTAATGACACATCCTCTCATAGACTGCCCTTCCTCCCCTGTGTCACCTCCCTAGTTCCCAGCCAGTGTGCACTGCACGTCCCAAAGTCAGAGTCGGCTTCCGGAGAATCTAACCTAACACACCCAGCATTTATCAGACTAAAACCACCCCTTCCCAAGGTGCCCTGGCTTCTTTGGTGCCTTCGCTTAACTAAATGCCTGTCCCTTGGATCACTGCTGGAAATGTGACCAACCCCACATCTAGGGTAGGATTCAGGTCATTCATGGGGGCCCAGTCCTGTCTCCTCTCTCCACTCCACCCCTGCCCCACTAGTTTTTATCAGTTTGCAAAGGCACCAGAGGTGGAGAGAAAATCAAGAACCAAGGAGCCTCGATTTTACAGGAACTCCAAATGTATCACCAAGCTGACCATAAAGAACTTGCCCAACTGAGTGAGACTCCTGCCATGGACAGTGGCAGCCCATCTGGCAGCCAGCTGCTCAGAGTCCCCACAGGGTCTCAGGACCTCATCCTCCAAGGCCTGAGCCCAGATGAAGCACGGCCCCTACCTCCATCCATTCCCTGGCAGAACTAGCTAGCATTCAGGCTGGGCTGCTAATGGCATGCTGATTTTTAATATAAATATAAAAACAACAGTCACTATATTCTGCCCAGGGATGCAGGCAGACAGGCAGACGTGTATCTTCATGTTTCAAGATATAAATGAAGCCAGTGGCATTTAAGAATGAAAATGCTTTCCAAGGTCCCAGGGAAGGCTGTGAGCACTAGGTAGTAACTAGCTCATCATCTTCCACACAGGTGAATGGCCCCAAGATAAGGTTTCCTCCTCGGCTTCCGTGTTCACATCCCTCTTGAGTATCATTTTATTGCAAATTGAGGATATGAGGCCATCATAACTACAGTATCTGAGGTGACCATTCACTGGGCAAGAATGCACTGCCCTCCTCGGACTTAGCCCTCACACCCCGTGAGCACACTGCCATCCACCTTTGTTGTCCCGGCCATTAAAGAATGTCCACCCATAGGTCTGCTTTCACTGTTGTCCTAATAACTGCCTTCATACCAAGAAAGGAGGGAACAAAGTGCCTGACCCTGGAGGCCTAAGAGCTTGACAAACAGATTCAACTGTTTTCATTATCCTAACCTTCAGTGCAAGAAACACTTGTCTGTTTCACTGGCAGCCTTCTCTCCTTGTGAAGCAAAATCAAAAGGACGCACTCTTGTGTTTAAGGAGTCACTCGTCGATGCAAATGGAATGAATGGGCAGCACCTTAGTACCAGGTGGAGATGTACAAGGGGCCCCAGCACTTCCTGAAAATACTGTCCACTCATCTTAGCGAGGCGTTCGAGGCCACTGGGGACCCGGCCCCAGCTCACTTCTCCTTCCTTGCCCACCAGCTCCATTCATGGGCTTCCTTCTTTCACACCTCGATCTCTTTACTCACGCGGTCCCCGCAGCCTGGAATGCCGGCAAAGCCACCTCCCCCTCCGCTCCAGGCCTGCTTATCCTTTTTATGATAAGCCCCAAAGTCGGCTCCTCACGGAAGAGTTTCTGGTCAGAATTAATTATTGCTCCTCTGTGTTCTTCTGCATGTTACTTACAAATCTATTTATTTCCTTCTCCTTCTTCTTTAAATACATAATTAGGTACTGTCTCTGCCATCTGGCCCTTAAGCCTCTCGAGACCAAGAGCCATCTTCCTCATCTCCATCACCCTTCCAATCCTAGCCAAGTGCACACACAGGGCGCTTAATAAACATTGTTCAAATGGGAAGCTACTTTCTAGCAAATTGTATTTTAAAACAAAGTACATACGTGGGATATTCAAGTAATTCCACTTAGGGAGCTCTCCTCGCTTAGCTAAAAACGTAGCATAATACTTCCTTCAAGGAAATTCTAGTTTTTACACAACATACGGCTTGATAAGTGAATGTTTCTTCAAATGCTACTTCTGAAATTTCTGCTGTAGTTCAAATGGGATTTATAAGGTGTTTCAATATTCCATAAAAGTTCTTTGTCAAAAAAGGTTACTAAATTCACAGATTAACCAGTTGTTTAAAGATTTACTTTCAAGTTAGTCAAACTTTGCTCACACGTATTTTTAATAACAAATACATCAATAAAAATTACCTTCTCATAATCAGCTGAGATGTCAAACTTCTCTTGTAGAATTTTTCTTAAAGTATCTGGGGGAAAAAAGCCACAAAATAATAGGAAGATTACTTTTTCAGTAAAAATACAAAATGCATATTTATAAAATAAAGGTCTATATATGCTTACAAATTATTGTACCTCTATATAATATTCTTATAATTTTATTCCTATTTTTTAGTATGGGTAAATGATTGAGCCAATGAGGCTTTAACCAGAAGCAAAGAATGGAGGACAAATAATCTCAACTTACTATTTTGCCAATGGCAGAATTAGAGGGTTGTCATTTTTAAGAGTTTTCAATTTCTCACAATACAACTTAATATTTACCAGCAAACCACACACACCCCATTAATAATCACTGATAAAACATTACATCGAAATTGCTAATTCCTAATTATTTGGAACCACAAATGAAATTCATTAATAATCCCACATTTACATAATATTTTACAAATGAAGAGAATCTTACAATTAACCTAATCCAAGCATTCTTAACATGAGACACCCCTCCCTTCCCGTCTCCAGGCAGTGCATGAGAAACCCTGAAACGCCACGCAGAAGCAAATTTCTCTTTGCATATTCATTCTGGGAGTTTTCAAATTCTCAACAGTTGAAGAGCCACTTATTTTGATTCACCATCCTAGTAACGGTGCAGTGCTCAGCACAGCTGATGCCCAGAGAGGGAGAGTGACTCGTCTAAAATCAGTGATTCGTGAGGAGACCAGAGCAGGCCCCACGTCTTTCTTCCCCCCGTGTAGGGTCCTTCCCACGCTGCACACTGTCTCTCCCCCAGGAACGAGCTTCTGAAGTGCTAGGACGGTATCCTGCATCCATCACCTCTAAAGTGAACGACTACTGGGCAAAGGAATCCTGGGGGGAATCCTCTTTGAAAAGAAGGTCAGATTTACATGTCAGAAAGCAAAGCCAGCCACTTCTCTAGAGGGCTTTCTGGAAAATGACGCCCTTGCCCGCTCGCACACAGTGAAGACAGATGGAGCACATCTTCAGAGAGGATGCCGCAGGAACAGGGAGGTTCAAACTGGCAGGTTTGTGACCTCCCCTAACCCTAGGGTACTGGGAACCCCGGTAGTTCCTCCAGGGTTCCATGGGGGTGACCCAGGGACAGTGGGGAGCCTGAGGCTGCCTAGTCCACAGGTCTCCTCCCTCTTGAACCAATCACTTTGCTTCAGTCTGTCTCACAGATTAACTTCTGTTTAAGATTTCATTGTATGAAAGGGTCCATATTGATTTAAAAAAATAAATTGAAAATCACCCATTTATTAAAATATATTGAACGGCACAGGTGATGTTCATAATGTGTTGAAATGTGGGATCTTCATCTAGTCAAGAGTTGGGATGGAGGCCAAGCTCAGCACTTTCTGGGTATCTAATGTTGGGTGAAGAATTAACTGCCATGAGCATGTTCATCTGCAAAAGGGGATAATGTAAGTCTCCAATCCTCAAAGGCCTGCTCAGAGCTAAGTGACATAACGTAATAAAGAAAAAAGTACATGGCCTGGCACACAGCAGCCCACAGTGCACACTGTCATTACTACTCCATGAAGAGATTTAGAAAACGTAGGTTACAGAGGAATGTGCATGATAAACACAGTATGGAAGACTGTTATTTTGGCCATGCAGTATTCATTACTTTTCTTGTCATGAAAAACCAAAACCAACAAATCCAAACAAAACCCTTTGAATTTCTTTGAGAGAAGTGCCCCTTCCTTCCTCTCAGGTCACAGGGACTGGGTAAGCGGTGAGCCCAGCCCCATAAAGATGGATCCTCACTGGCCTCAGCCAGTGGGTCTCCAAGTGTATTCTGTGAATCCCTTGGAATCGCCAAGACACGTTCAGGGTGCCTGCAAGGTCCGACGACCTCGTGCACTGAGAGAGCAAAAGAGAAGCTGGATAAGACTGCTGGTGACTTAGCATGAACTGAAGCAGTGACTAACATTCATTATATTCTTCACTGCCACGAGCTCATGGAAAATAAAAAGCCAGTTACACTTAAGGATATTCTTGATGAAGCATTAACAACCATTATTTTATGAAATCTTAACCTGTCAGTAAACACCTTTTTATTATTCTGTGTAAGAAAATGGAAGTCCACATGAGCACTTCTCTGCACCCTAAAGTATGGTGGCCCTCTCCAGAACAAGCACTTGGTAATCGTTTTGAGTTGTGGGCTAAACCAGTCACATTTTCATGGGACAGCATTTTTACTTGAAAGCATGACTGAGAGACAAACCATGGTTATTTAGACTTGTGTATCTAGTAGATATTTTCCCTAAAATGAAGGAAGTGGAGCCTGCAATTTTAAGAAAGCAATTGACAGAACTTGTTGCCGATGACAAAATGAGAGTGTTTAAGCAAAAATTAGAACTTTTAAAAATTTGTGTCCAAGAGGTTGACATTGTTCTCACTACATTTTAACAGGGTTCCGTCAATGACACACGTAACAGGTGTTCGTCCTGCAGGGCTATGTGGAGGGAAGCAAATATGAGAGAACATGAATCAGGTACCGACGGGAGCCTCACCGAAACCTCCCTCCAACGTCAAACAGATGCTCCTGTCAGTTTGCTCGAGGACCCCAAGCCCCTCCCAAGTTCTTCCGGGATCCTGGTGGTCCTGGGTCCTGGGAATGATCCCAGCTGCATCTAGGCACACTACTGCCCGGCAGCTGACCCCTGTCCCTCTGCCAAGGCTGACCCATCCGAGGCTTTGGAGCAGGGATGTTCTCTCTTCCCATGGTTTAAAGCAGTGCTGTCTAATAGAAATATATTGCAAGCCATATAAGTAACTCCACAGTTCCTAGTGGCCACATTAGAAAAGTGAAAAGAAGCAGATGATTATATTAATTTAAAATTAAATTAATTTTAGTAATGTTTTCCTTACTCCAGATATAAGAAAAATATTATCTTTCAATATGTAATCAATACAAAAAATATTAATGAGCTATTTTATAGTCTTATTTTCATACTAAGTGTTTACCTGGTGTAGGTGCACTTCAGTGTATCTCAGTTCAGACAGGCTACAATTCAAGGGCTCAACGGCCACACTGGGCTAGTGGCTTCTGTACTGGACAATACAAGTTTAGAGGCCACAGATCATCCTGCCCATGCCCACCCCGGAGCGATGGCATTTCACCCAAAGCAACAAAGCCTCTGTCCTGTTCTTTATCCCCCCTCCCTCCCACTGTACCCTGTCTCAAGAACACAGTGAGCATCCTGCATGCTCAGGGCTGTAATATCCATTTTTCCTTTGGCTTCCTCGTGTATCTCTAAGTAAATGGTTCTCAATCAGGGTAAAGGAACATCAGAAATGCCTGTGGTACACAGCCCAAGCATCTTGATTCGTAAAGTCCCAGGATTAACTCTGCTGCCCACACCTCATTTGGGAACTCACAGGACCCCTCATTAGGAAATTCTTTCTCAGTGTAATATGTTCCTTGCTGGTGAGAACTTTGAATCGCTTATGGTCCATCACAGAAAGCATGTGGAAGAACTAGGACCCCGCTTCTGCGCCCACATCCCCCACTTGGGGGTTCACGAGTGTTGCGCTCACTCTGCTACGCTGCAATCCTTTGCGTTCGTATGTGTCTGTATTTGTCTTTGTCCTGGCCAGCTCATAAAAGACTTCCAGCAGAAACCTTCTCAACCTCTGGATCGTGTGCATCCCCAGCACCTCCAGGGCTCCAAAATTGTTTACAGTATTGATGTTGCAGAAACACAACATTACTCTACCCCCCAAAAAGTGTTGCTTCCCCTCTGGAGATGGGGTGGGAATCTCTGAATTCTGTGACTGGTTCCTTGTATTGCCTGGTGAGCAAGGGAGCCATTAGCATGTGGGTTACTACAGTCTTATCCTGCCCTCCATGAGACTTCAGTGTAGACAACAGTGACCACCTTGTCCTTCCTGAGCTGAGACAGGGCTGAAAGGCACTTAGCCCCAGGCCAGACAACTCCAAGAGGTCAGTGAGTTCTCCCCACCCTGAACTCGAGGCGCTGTCTGACCACCTTTCTCAGGCGGCAATTCATTTTCCACTGTACCAATTCCATGCTCTTTCACAACGTAACGGTTGCCTCTGAAGACATAGCAGTGGGCAGGGAAACAGATAAGCTGGTGGATGAGGAAGTTATTCTCGTGATAGAAGACTGTTTCTCAGGATCTGGTCTCTTGGAAGGGCTCTGTAGGTCTTTCCAGAATGATAGTGACTATCAGTCTCTCTTCATTCATCCTAGATTTTCCATCGTCTTCTTATCTGGGACTTACTTTAAATGTCATGTGATGATGGAAACTAAGAAATGGAGCAGCAAGAGCCAATTCTGACCCCTGTGTGACACCATCAAGTTAGAAAGTAGGTTAACTTTCTTTCATTTTTTGCTCTGTGTGCGTGTGTGTGTGTATGTATGTGTGTAATTTCTCTGGGAGTTCTAATGTCTGAAGCCACACAAGCCAGATAAAATGAGAAAAGTGCCTTGTACAGGATCCGTATATAACAGATCCATCTTATTTATCTTAGTCAAGACTCATCTTTGACTAAGATATTTCTGTTTCCTAACTGATTTTTTTTTAACACATCTGTAGACTCTGACCCAAGCTCGGCAAAGTGAAATTCCACTCTTGGAATGCTGTCTTGTAAAATGGATAGACAACTGAAGTCACCTGTGGTTGGCTGTGGATTTATCAGATTTCTGATGAACATAAGTGCTCCTGGGAAATTTTGCTGATAATATCTATTTGGCAAGACTTACCTGGTTAGGTCCCTAATTAAAAGATGTAACATCTATCATCTTCTAAATTGTATTCCTATCATTTATTGCGAACAAAATCTCCTGAAAATGCTAAACCATATTTAACAAGTTTTTTATAAAGACATTTTTATGTCTGATATAAATAAGTGTTTAGTATGCTGCAAATCATTCTAATATATGCAAAACAAGATCATTGCAATGCAATTCTTGAAAAAATATTACCATGTAAATGTTAATTTTGTTCATAGCTGCTAATTTTTCCTGCCAAAAGTATT